GCAAATATTCGAAGTTAAATATCAACACTAAAAGAACACTCTATCTACAGGCAGTACGACACATAATTCTATATGCCACCCCAGCGTGGGCAGCTACTGCACGTTCAAACAGAGCAAAGCTTCAAAGTTTTCACAGTAAAACTCTCAGATACCTGTTGAACTCCCCGTGGTTTGTTAGGAACACTGTCATCCATAATTCTCTAAAGATTTTACCATTAGATGCCAAATTACTAAAGATTACATTTAAATTCTATGAAAAACGTGATTCCTGCACTCACGAAGTTATTAAAAACATAGGGGGTACGACTATCTAATCGAACAGCCGCATAAACGGCCCAGAACAATACATCATAATATTAGATGGTAGTTCTTGTATATATTTTATTATTTTCAACTATTTAATCTAGATTTTGTTTCATCTTTATCATCATTTTCTTCTTACTATGGACTTTGCCTGGTACCAAAGCTGCTGACTTTATCATCATTAAATTCGTATATCACGTGACAGTCTACTTCCCTATGAGTATTAAGATATAGGTACTTTTGCTTCAGACGAAAGCACAAAAATTTCTGGGACTTGTTTATATTATTTTCTATTTTTACTGTATCAAATCTAGGATAATATGTAAAAGATATGCCATTGCGAAAAAGACATGCAAAAATTATTAGTTACCAATGCTTATCCAATGAAGACTTCATCTGTGCCGATATATGGCGCCGTGCCTGATTAACTTGTTCACTACTGAAGACTTTGCACTTTTATTACAAGTGCACAGGATTTTTCCATTTTTATGGAATTTAACGAACTTTTACAGGTTCTTAGGGGATTCATAAACATGTAGTAGTAAAGGCCTTCGGGTCGAACACCACATAACAAATGATGATCTCCACCAGTGTCACAACGAAGCTCCGCCCAGCATCAACAACTTTGGTGGATGTAAACATGGCTCATAACATTGATTCAGAAGTCTGAAATAAGTCTTTATCGATATCTGTGAATATGCATATTTGAATGATATCGGGCATTTTACAACTGAATGGCTTGGTTATGTTATAAGAAAGCGAAAGAATAAATACTTATAATTTTTTAGATTGGTCCTATATAGAAAATGTAGTGCTCGTAAAAAAAAAAACTTCAGTAAGATATTCAGTATAAAGTATTTTTAATCTTATTTTTACATGATACAATTGCTTTCTCATGTTCACTGATTAAGTCAAACTTAGCCAAATTTAATAAAGCCAAAATTAGTCTATAAATTTTCTCTTTCAAAGAATATTCAGAGTAAAACCGGGATTATGGTAACCTCACAGTAAGATTAATAATTTAATTCAAATATGGAACTGTGTTTGAATAAAAACATTATAAATAAACAGTGTTATCTATTATTTTGTAATCAGACCTTAAAAATAGATTCTAAGTTTTTGAAAATGCCAACCAACTGCATTTCCATATATTTGCTATTTTTTTTCTCATATCACATTATTTATCATCATGTGCAAGTTTGTGAATAAAATTTATATAGTTGCTACTAAAACATCTGTGTGTTTTATTGGATTTATGGTGCTTGCATAATAACAGATACTTGTGATGCTATCATTGATACTTGTGGATAAATATCTGACTCTTATATAACTGTTTATAATGATATCAACACAATTACAAACTGAATTTCTTTGCTCCAGGCAAACTGGGATTTGTGTTTGTTCGCTTTCAAAATCAATTTAGTTTTATCCAAAATATAGGCTCCTATTTTTTTACCTAATTTTAAATAGTTTCCTTGCCAGTCCACTAAAGGGTTTTTTTTTTTTTTTTTTTTTTTTTTAAATAGACAGTTTCTATTCTCTGAATTCGTAAATCCAACAGATATATAAATCAGAAAGTATAGAAAAATGACAGATTTTTATTGCAAGCTGAAATTAGGTGCATTTGAGTAAAAGTTTTATTATATGATGCGATTAAAATATAAAATGAGCAAAATTTCAGGCAAACATTTTGTAAATACTATTTGCATCATTATCATATTTGTCAAACAAGAAGCTCACATGTATTAAAAAAAATTTTGCGCAATTTTCCTATTAAAAATTTTATGCTAATTTTTTCCCTAATAATTGTGTTCTTAAAATATTTGAGTACTTTTAATCATGTATCTTGATAATATAAGTGAAACTGAAAAAATTAATAAATATCAGATTTTATATGTGGTCATTATTCATTAAAATTCTGTCAACTACAAATTGAAATGAATCACTATGGGATGAAATAACCACATGCTCTCTTAGCTGTAAATTTCTGTATCTGCAGCCCCACCAGTGGCTGATCAGTTAGAAACCGCTGAATATTAATAGTTCATTCTGGGTTCGAACCCAGATGAATAGGCTGGCTGCATGGTTGGTTTTCCCTAGGTGTACTGCGAAAATAAACCACTTTTCCTTAGAAAGTTTGTCACAAAAGCATCCCTCCTGTTAGGGAAGTAGCCCCCCCATGCTTTGTTATATTCCAATACACTAACCTAAACTTTTATATTTTTATTTTCATTTATCATGAATTTAAAAGAAATGCCATTCTTTTTATAAAGTTGTATACATTCCTGGGGTTGTCACACATATCTTCAATTATGTTCAGTGTTTAATTCAATATCCAGTTCGATGTTCTCAGAAATATATACACTTAGAATCAAATAGCACATTAAAAAAAGCACCATTTTGATTATATATTTCATTTTTAAAACTACTTTTTAGATATATATTATATGGCAACACACACTTCATAGATTCTTACTTCAAGGTAGATGTTGGATGAATATGTAAATTTGTATTATGTTTTGTAATTTGATTAATTAAACTTATGAACTAAACAGCATAGCCTTAATTTGTTCCTGTACCCCTCAGATGATCACTTATTTAAACTCTACAATAGTACTTTGTGAACAAATTCATAATCCTAAACCAATAGAAATTATTAACCATAAAACAAACAAATAGCAAAAACAACAAAAAATATTTAACATATAAAATGGACAAAAACGTAATTGAAACTATGAAGGAAAGTGGATGACATAAGTGGAAAATGATGAAAACGACATTGTGTGGATGTGAAATTTTGCTCTATAAAAACAGGTTTTATGGAAGCATCTTCTTTTATCTTTGTCTGTAAGTGCCACTTGATTCTGCTTGAGACCTACTTGGCATTTGTTTCAATCAAATTTGTTCAAAATAATTTCTTTTTACGTACATTTTAAAGTGTTTGTAAAGTGAGACATAATACTGCCACTAAAAATGCCTATGTTTAGCTTGCCATTGCTTTATCAGGGTGATATCATTAGATGAAAACTTTGCATCTTACTCCCCTTTCTGGATTAGAGAACTAGTATAATTTTTCATTCATCTTTTTCAGAAGACGTTTCTTCCACAAATGTCTTTTGTTACTGTTTTTGAAATTTTTGCATTTCTTTCTTGTTGAGCTCATTTTTATGGTCTTCTAGTAACTTCTCCATGTTTTCATTATTAACTTCCTAGCCCATGGTTTTGTCTAGCTATATTATAGATAATAAAAAAGTACTAAGTGTCAAAGTGCCCAAACTCTCTATTTGCAATTCAATCTGGCCATAATGTCCACCACATTGACTTCATAATTCTATAAAGTCACTTTCTGCCAGTTTTATTAATGACAATTAAGTGATGGAAAATATTAAAATAATGTCCCCAGAAGTCCCTGAGTATTAATTATATGGTATAGGTTCCTTCAAAACACCTTTGGAAATCATGTTGCCTACCTGAGTGTTCGTAACTTGAAATACTATTCATCATCCAAGGTATTTTCTGTTCTGGCAGTTTGTTCATGAAGTGAGGTGTTTATGACACGAGGTTTCACTATATAATCATTTACAGCTTGTAACAATTCTGATAGAGCTGAAGATATGGGATTTGCATACAGTATGTATGTACTGATAAAGAATATTTCCATTTATTATTCTGAAATATATAAAAGTTGCTATCTATCATCTGATGTGACTAAAGATTCTATATAATCAATTTATACCATAAAACTTTTCTGTATAAAGTAGGTAAATTGCTTTTTTTATTATAGGTTGGATAAGATAACAGTCAATATTGTAATTCTAATTTTCAGTACATTTTTTTATTTTTAATAAAAAGTAATAGTTTGTAGTAATAGCATAGTGATGAAATAGTAGTATTATAATAATAGATTTAGTGATGAAAAAACTGACATGATTGAAAACAGGGAATTTGCTGAGATTTTTAAAGTAATAAGTCAATAGTCTACATAATGCATTTTAAATAGCATTTTCATTGGCTCAAACATTGAGTGAACTTGATTGTGAAACAAACGTTCATGAATAGTTAAACAGCTGAATTAGTTTGTTAAATAAAATGTGTATGTGAAGTAAATCACGAAAGGGAAAAATTTAATTATTTTTATTATTGCTATTATCAATTAAATTTTTATTAACACAACTTGGAAAAATAGTTTATATGTATTAAATTTTTGAAATTAGAAATGTAATTAAATGCTTTTGACTTTTTCCAAAATATCAAAGCATTTAGAGATATTAAATGAACAATATTTATTGAAATACCGTGACAGCTTCAAGAATCTTCATTTTTTTTTAATTTGAAGATATATTGACAGATAGAAAAGTGTTAAAAATGTTAAATTAATTATTTACAGATGCTAAATTATAATGCAAAGGAATATTTAATATTATTACCACTTATGTATTTTTGCTACTTTTTGTTATAAGTGCTACTTTTAAAAATCATGGCGGTTATAGTAATTCACATGGCTTACTATCACTACTTGTACTTTAAATGATATTCACTATTGTTAATTGTACATCAAGGTAATGTCTGTATTTAAAAAGTGTTATATGTTAATAAAGAGTCTGCTATTCTTACATTTTATGAAATTAATCAGCTTGCCTACTCGTAAATGATGATCTTAAACTAAGAGGAGTGTTTAAAAAAGAACACAAAGTTAATAATAAATTAAAATTACATATAATTTATTTAAAACCTGTCATATATACAATACTTCTTATATAAAAATCAATAATACAATCATATTTCCATATTTTACAAACACAGTTTAAAATTTCAGTGCCATTATGCATTTGGCAGAAAGGAATGATTTAAGTTAGAAACAATATGAATTTTAATGTATTATAAATTAGTGTTTCCCAAACTGTGGACTAGTGACATTAATTTTGGTGAATCATGAAACATTTTAAAGATCTTTGCAAAGGTATTTAAAATAAGAATTAATTTATAATCATTAATTGTTGGTAATTGCATACATACATTATTTTCTTCTAGGACTCTTTCATCTTCTCTTCTAAAACAATTATACATGCAAATGGTAATAGAATGTATACAGTAATAATGGCAATTGCAGTGTCTCAAAAAGTTAAAAAGGGCACTTTTTAAAAATTTAAAATATAAAATATGGTTTTAGTAGAAATGTGTGTTTACTAGTCTTCATTTTTTAAAAACATGTGAAACTTATGATGTTATTTCATATCAAAGCAATATTTAAAAAAGCCATCTTTTCAAATTTTTCAATAAAGTTGCCCTAGAATTTGAGTTATTTCAACATTTCATTATCATGGCTGCTTCCTAAGTTATTATCCTAAGTTCCTAAGTTATATTAGTTCCTAATTTATATTTAGTTAGAAATTCTAACTTATCTCTTAATTTATAACTAGAAAAAAAGAAATTTATTAGAAAAGCTGCTGTAATAGTTAAGCTATAATACTTTTGAACTAATAAAACTACTATCCGAATCTTTACGAAATTCAATATTAAAGTGCATTTGGGAGACCATGAAGTTATATCAAGGTACATCATCAAAGCCATGCTGTGCCTATTGTTGTCAACAACATAAAAATAGTCAAAGACTGCATACTCTCAAACTTACAGAAGAATTTTACTGGTCATATGAAGTATTTGTTAATCCAGAAGCACTACTGAAACCGTAATCCAATCTACTAGATATAATGGTGGGTGGCAAGCAAGAAAAACTAAATTAATGAAAGACCTTCAAATTCAGTTTTTAAAAATCTATGAGAAGTAAGACTTCTAAATAAAGGAATAATGCTGAAACTAAATTCGCAAGCTATAGTTAGGATAGTTAAACTACAGTACGGAGAAGATTCAAAGAATTTCAGAAACTGAACTTAGCTCCACCTACAGAACACAGCAGAAGAATTATGAAAGAGGCATATAACATTCTTTGAAACCATAATCTCAGTTTATTGGATCACCATCAGTATGATTATGGTGAAATTAAAAATCATCAGAATAAAAATTTAAAATTTAAAAATAATTCCAAAACTTACCAAGACCTTACCTTTAAAGGATACTTTTAAGCATATTACTAAAATATCATTTAATCATTGTTGAAATGCTTAGTTTTGGTAGTTTTTAATTCCCATAAGACTGATCAAACATATTTGGCAGAATGATGGAAGGTACAATTTTGAAACAAAATATTTCTTTAAAGCTCTTACTGAAACTGGTAATACAAGAAGACTACAGAAGAATTAGAGAAATAATAATAAAATGTTAATAAATAACAATTTTGAGTTCAATATTTTACTCTTGGAAAAATATTTAATGTAAAAAAATAACTGCATAAATACAAACTTCAAAGAAAATCATGTTTTTGTAATTTCAGCTAATGTATTTTTGTATGTATTGTAATACTAATGTATTGTATGTATTTTGGCTATTTTTTCAAATTATTTTTTATAATATTTTCAGAAACTAAAAATATCCTATCACTTCTGTGAGATGCTATATACATATAAATATCAATGCTAAAATGATTGGGGAAAAATTGCTAAACTCATAGTCAGATTATAATTAAAATTCTGTTAAGCATTTTTAATAAGAGACAGTGCAGTTACATACATTAAAGCAAAAATATACATATTTATTTTATAATCAACAAACACTTTATAACTTTTGGAAAAAAGTCAGATCCTATCATTCAGCTAGCTCGGGGGGGATCAGGAATCAAATTTTTAATATGACAGACCTTAAAATTTCACAACTGCGCTAAGAGTGACATTTAAAGTAACTTATTTCCACGTTGTTATTAATTTAATCATCAGTTGCAAGTGGCATATATCCTCGTTCTTGCAAGAGCTTCTTTTCTTTTATACAATCAGACACCCACTTTTCTGTAACAATGTGAAACCTTCCATTCCTTCGTTGTGCAGATATGGAATTCAATTCTTTCACAGTATTTGCTTCACTGAAACAATAAAAAATACTGTTACGAATTTTGTATTTAGGTAGGTAATTTTAGAAGATTTATAATTAAAATTGTTGTATTTTTCTGTGTAACGTAGCACAAGACAAATTTTAAGAGAAAGCTATGCCAGAAAAAGGATACACGGTTATGTGCATTTAACATTGAGTAAGGGGTATCTCGATAATTTGTATTGAAACTGAATAAATGTAATTGACCAGTATGTTAGTTGTAACTGTAATTTCACCCTCGTACTGCTTTCCTGTAATTTTGAGAAGCAGAAAGTACTAGAAATATCTTGCAGCTGGTTGAAAACTATTTAAGCCCGAAGACAGAGCATATGGTCTCAGTTGTTTAGTTAGCTGCTGTTGTTATTGTTACAAGTTCAGCATGAAATCAGATTAGCTTTTTCTTTAGATGTGCTTTGAATTGCATTGTGTTTAATGTTCTCAGTAGTTTGAAGTATAATTACTGATTATACTGCGTGACATAGTGAACACTTGTACGAATATTTCCATGGAAAATTCCCGAGTTCTGAAATATTTGTTTTGATAAAAATAAATTTTATTAGACTATTATCGGATTTGTGCATTCAATCTATTATGAACTCGTATGCATACAACAATACTTTTAAAAGAAAATTCACTTCATATGTAAATACATATACAATGATTAAAAACTTTATCAGGCATATATTTAATAAAAACTAAATAACTCATTAGTTACAAACATAGCAAGATACCATGTAATTAGACTCAATTTTCATACTGTTTAATCAAAGAATGTTTTCATTTGGTGAGCTCCTTTAGCAGGAGAGGGAAAAACAGATATAATGTAAGACATGATAGCAGATGCAAAGGATAATGTTTCTTGTGAAATAAATTCTGTTAAATTTTTAATTCTCTCTCAGACAATGATTAATGCAGCATATTGAGAAAAACACAAGCTCCCTCCTCTCAGGAAAAGTAGTTTGGCTTGCAACCAAAACCGCTAGGTATTACTGGAAAAATAGTTAGGGCTGTACTAATCACATATGGGAAAACAAATCACAACACAATATAACAGCAGAATGGAGATATTTCTAAACATATATATGAATGCAACTAGATTACTTATATCTGGAAAAATATAACATAATTTGACACATCTTGATTTCTTCTGCATTACATGATGGTGTTAATTAATTACTGTAATACCTCAAAGTTACACAATGAGTGAGACTGATCAAAAGCGTGCAAGTCATGATCTAACTTTGTCTTTGGACCTATTTTAATTAAATGGGACCAAGGATTAAAAAAAATAGAATGAAGTAATATAAATGTAAAAAGTATGTTATGAAGAATATAATTTTCATACATATCATTTCAAAAGAGTATTAAAATAAATATGTATATAAAATGGGGTTATTTCGATGCCTTCATAAAATTTAGAAAACTCATCTGATGGCTGAATTATAAAGTGAGAGAAAAATGAAAAATCTCAGATTTCACTCTTAACTTTTTCTACACCAAAGAATAAAACAGTACATACATATAGAATAACTGCATTTTCTGTTAAACCAATTATAAATTAACAGAAATTTTTGACGAGCAGTTACTATAAATTATTATGCTTTAATGCATATGATTTCTTTAAAGCTAGTTCTAACACAAAGGAAGAGTAATGTTTAGTTTATCAGCATTTTATGAATTACTGACAGTTTCAGATGCAGATTAATTACATGCATAAATGTGTAAAATAAATTAACAAACCATTTAACTTGCATAGTCAGGATATTCCAGTACAATAAAATGCAAATGCTGCTTCCTTGTGGGTAGAGATGCTTAAGGCTTACATTAATTTAGTCATGGGGAGAAAAATTATGAAAGCCCATGTGTAGTGACTTGTTCAGTTGCAGGGAATGAAATTTAGAATAAACTACAAGTGATCTGTAGTTTTCAAGCCCTGATAGCCTATGATAGATTATAATTTACATGATGATAACTATGAAAGTTACATAATGATACTCAAGCCAGGATCTTCAAGAACAGGTGCACTTACTGCATCAATTTATCTATATTTGCTTAAAAAAAACACAGTTTGTAAATAACAAATAAAGAAATGATAGCCCAACAATGACAGCTGAACCATCTCTATGCACAAAGCTCCATTACTCCTTAATCATGTTCTCTGCAGCATGATCAATTTCTATATCATCAAATATATAATTACAGTGTCATATTAATAATGCTAATCATCTAAGATAAATTCGATTTGTTTACCAGCAGCAATTTGAAAAATAAACGATGTGATAGTACCATTAATTGTAAAGGACTGTTAAAATATTAATTTTAAGCAAACAAGAACTTTCTTTCTCTTTTAAAATGTAATTCTAAAAATGTGCTGTTTGAAATTTATTTTAAATTGCATAATTTTTTCCCACTTACCTGGAATGAATAACAACATGTGAAGTAGATGAATCAATATCTGAGCACATATCTGCACCATAAAGCTTTAGTTGAAAATACACAAGTTTCAATTTGCTTTCTTTATGTTCTACAGAAGTGGTATCATTACCTTCTCCACTTACATAAATTCTATTGTAAAAATAATAAATTTTGATTAGAAAATTTCATCAAGTAATTAATACAAAGTAATACTCATATATTTTTATTAATATATATATTATAAATTTAATTTACACTTTTTATCAAGGAAAATATAATTTATGGAATGGCAAAAAATCTGAACAATAATATTTTAGATTTATTGTGGAAGCATTACAAACAAATTTCTTAATTCTTTTACAGGAACGTAAATTTTATAATCTGTTGTTAATGTATTTTATCTGCAGTAATGCAAGCACCTCAAATAAATTACAGTGCAACTTCTTTGCAAAAATCAAAAGTTTATGCCACTTCAAAGTTTTACTTGTCTAGAAATCACTAATATTGTAACTGTCAAATGAAAATGTAATATTAATTAATAAATGAATTTTTTTTTTTTTTTTTTTTTTTTTTTTTTTTTTTTTTTGTCAAAATCTGCTCTCATGATATCAGTTTTCAAATCAAAACATCCAAATTGAATTTACCAAATAGATTTTAATGTAACAGAATAGTATGGTATGTTGAAAAGAAAGTAAACATTTTCAAACAAGTCTTGCAAACTGAAAATGTAGTAGTTAATATTATTTAATTCCTTTATAATTGTGTGGGGGGAAGAAGAATTCAATCTCTGATTAATGTTGTATTTATTATAAAAAGATGCAGATTTAAAATGGTTTCTTTTTTTCATAAAACAAAAATATTCTTCACCATTTACTTTCAATATGCCATTCAAATAGGCAAATGAAATAAATAATGTAATGATCTAAATATAGGAAAAACATTTTCCTCAAAAACAAGCATTCTGTTAAACTGTACCCATTGCCAAATATTTAAAAGAAAATGTTCTTATCCCTTAAAATAATTCAACAGATAAGAACAATGTATTTAATTTAAAGGATGATACACTTTTAAAATTTCTTATTAACAATATTTTCTTTGAAAACAAGAACACTATTATAGGAGACAAGAACAACACATTTAAATTTTTATTGACAATATTTTATTTATTTTAGAAACAAGAACACTGTTATAAGAGATAAGAGCAATATGCTTCACCCTTTCATCCCACTGATGTTTAAAAATACCTGCAGGACATATTTAACATAACTAAAAGAAAAGTGTACCACTACAGTATTTTAAGTACCAGGACATCACCCCAGTGTGTAATACCATGTGGATTTCACTAAATGTAATGTTATGTTTGTTAATAAACCAGTGAGTGTCTGTATTATAGATTTACAGTAAATTTGTGCAAGAATAAACTGATTTCATACACAGTTTTATTCTGTAATACTTATAATACATTTAGAAAAGAAATAGAATATCGGGTATGTATGAATTACTTAAGAGTTTAGAAATTATTTATCTTTTTGTTTATCTGATATATATGTAATATATTCAGGAGCAGGAATTTTGATGGTGTAGAAGAGTTGACTGGAAATTTGAGGCGAAGGCAGATTAAATCTTCAGTTTTATTTCCAGCAAACATGTTGCAGCTATACTTGTGCCGACTTGTGTGTAGCCAAAAGGCTTACATTTCTGATAACTTTGTAGCAAGAAAGCAGCAACAGACAGACAGCAGTCTAGCTAGGCCAAAGCGTGGAAAGCAAGTGCAAGTTATTTTCAAGGTGAAATCTTATTCAGACTTAGTTAGTTTTGGTTCTCAATAGATTTTCATTCGATAGTTAATATTGCTGTAAAATTATTATTGGCTGCTTGAATTTACATAAGAATCATATGACATAGAATAGTCTCGAAATGACGCAGTGCAGACAGGGGTTACTATTTTTAAAATAGAGATGGGAATTTACATTGCTAATATAATCTTTTATATATTCTTTACTTTTTTTTACGTATATATGTACCAATTGGTATTATTATGGTACATTATGTGTATCATTATTTATTACTGGTACATTTGTGTACATTATTGATACATATTATTCCCGGTACATTATGTGTACCATAATTTAGGCAAATTATTGTTAGACAAATTATGCAGCTTTGGGTACATTCATGACCAACTGCAATCGTGTAATGCATGAATGACATGCAACCGCAAAATTCAATTCAACAGCAATATCATAAAATATTTAAAAACGACATATCTTTAGAATTTCCGATACGCAGTATTGTGCTGAAAAATGTTTTTTTTCCATACAGTGTTGTCATTGCTTGCTTTGATAATCAAAAATTCATTAAAGTTTTACAAAATATGAAATAGATAATAAAACAAATTCAAATTTCGAGTGTGCAAGTGCCCATGTTTGGGTGGAGGATTACGTTATGCAAAATTTGATATCTCTAGGTACCGTTATTTTTCACAAGACAAGAAACACGCATACAATCATGCAGATTCTTCATTATTTTATTTCTTAAATATAACACAGGGAGATAATATTTGAAAAGTGATTTACCGTTTATGTTGAAATGGCAGAAAATGCCATTTTGGGACTAATAGCCCTTTTGAGCTAACACTCTTTTGGGTTAATAAGTAATTAAAAATAACATTACACTCACCGATTGTTTCGAAACAAGCCAAAGGGTGATGATTCAGCAAAATAGCGACCTTAATTCACCAATAGTTTATCACGTTGAAAGAAAAACTAGGTTTAGAAATTTTTCCAAATAAGGAATCCATTTTTTTCACTCACCGACACTTTCGAAACAAGCCAAAGGGTGATGATTCAGGAAAATAACTTTCTTCTATTTCAGCAATTTCTTGTGTTGTAATACTTTCAGCCAGACATTGCTATAAGAAAAATGTTTTAATCTGAAATAAAACAAGCATTGCATCCAAATTTTCCTCTACTATTTCAAATGATTTCACGAGATCTGTTCAAAAAAGAAATTTTCAGGTATTTTTTTTTTTTTTTTTCAGAATATTTGGAACAATTACAGACTTTTATAACCATAGCATTAAAAATATGGTCTTATGGTCTAAGTTGCTACATGTTTTAGGAGTTGAATTGGAACTTGAAGTGATTGTATATAATATACTGGCATGAAGAACTTAGAAAAGTCATATTTTTATCTATAGTTTTGTATAGAAGTATTCCAAATATGATACAATATAAAGATACATTGCAAGATAACAAAAAGGAATACAATACCAATAAAATCTGTCTACAGACCTTATTATGGTGTACTAACAATACATTTAACTACCATGATAAAGAATAATTACCTGTTAGGAAAGAAATAACATTAAATAGTTCCTCAGCAGGAGTATGATAACTGTGAACTGCACTAAATGTTATGCATCATGTGCACTGAATATTGCTGATATTTGTTTTTTGAAAACAATTTCTATTCCTCTGTCAATGCTATTTTTGACCAATAAACAGTTATCAATGGCCATAGATGTGTTGAAGGACATCTCTCAAAATGCTCCATATGTATTCAGTTCAATTTAGACTGGTGAAGTGAGAAGTTCACTCTATTCGAACACCTTCACTTTCCAACAACAAATCAACAGCTGCAATATAACAAATGCCATAAAAATAAATTTACGGTCAACAGAACTTCAAATCAGATGTGTGTGGATGAACTGGATTTCAGTACTGGCTTTCAGTACTTGCAACTTCGTTCATTCATCCAACATAATGCATTCCCAGACGGAAACACTTGGCGGCCATATTCATTTCTTTCAGCAATACATCCAAGTTGATATCAAATCATTTCAAGATAAGGTGATATTCAGAACCACTGTTGAAAAAGATTCCATACTCTTCTGTTGTGAAGTCTGTGTTCTTTGCACCACTGTAAGCAGTGTTGCTCATGAACAATGTTCACTAGATAATGTTTTTCACGAGCAGTCAACACCAGTTCTTTGAATACCTCTCCTCTCATTTTGAAAACTGCCAAAATTAGAGATACAGTACTACAAGCAATATCAAACTCAATGGCCATGATCTTTTTCCATTATGCACTTTTAATTCACATTTCTTAAACCTTGTAAAATATGTTTTAGTGTCCTTTTCAGCATTTATAATATGAAATGAAACTTGGTGAATGTCTGCAAAAAATATGTTTCAGCATACAGAAATTGGGAGAGAATTTGAGAATTGCTCTTATTATTTAGACACTATTATACTACCTCTAAAATAAGACACTAAAATTTCAATGTGTACCAGCTTTCTGCTTAAGATGTGTCATTATGCAAAGCACTATAGTTGTTTCATTCAGTTCTGAGGTTACATTATTTAGAGACAAGTACTGTTACTTACGTTCTGAACATAAGTATACTTTTAGGTATTCCATGTCAGAAAATAAAAGCAAAATGATCATTTATAAAGCTGTGTTGCCTAATTAGATAAGAGCTAAGGAACATTCCTTTTAAAATATCTTATCTTTTGAATTTTCCAAGATATCTCAATTTGAGACTTAACCCCTTTGCGCCGACTGTCACATATACGTGCCAGCAACGAACACACTTATCTACCGGCGTACCAGAGCATTGTTGCGTTTTCTACTGAATGTCACGTATTTGTGCCAGTACCTTGGAACGTTTTTCAAACTATAATTTCTGCCACAAGATGGCACTGTATGTCCATATGGTTTCAGATACATGTACATTAGACATTCTACTCGAAATGAGAGAAGCATGACTCACATACACGTGTTTTTGATTATATAAACAAATGGGGAACTAAATGTTTCCGAATGGCGTGATTTATGACGTCTCTTTAAATCGCACTTTATTCGCACGTGGTAGTTGTTTATTGTAAGTAGAAGTTTTATATGCGCTAAAGCGTTGAGTATTTTGGTTTACAGTTCAGTTTTTAGAAAATAATTAGATCTTGTTAGACGTGAATTCTTTCTGTTTTTACCGTTTCAATGTCGAAGCGTCGAAAATGTTTAACAGAGCATGAAATAGCAGAAATGATGCAAAATATTTCAAATATTGATTCTGATATTTTGATATTGATTCTGAAAGATTAACTGAAAGACATTTTCCAAAACTTTATTCAGAAGAGACTGATACGAAAATGAGACGACGATGCTTCGTTTGTTCACATTCCCGAAAAAATCCTCCAAAACGGCAAATGAGTTATTACGAGTGCAAGGAATTTAACGTAGGACTGTGTGTAGATCCCTGTTTTCAAATTTTTCATATGAAAAGAGAATTTTAAGTAATATATTTAGTTTTCAGATGTATAATGTTAAAAGTCATAAAATGGTGAGTAATGAAAATAAAATGTGTAAAATATGCATTTAAACAAGAAATAAGGTAATTAAAGTATATATATAAAAATATCTATAAAGCTTAAGCCGTTTAAATACTCTATAGAGCATTATTAAACAATGCGTTGATACTTCGGACATTTCATAAATTTAGGCTTAGTAGCAAAAAAGCCCCTGGCCCTGGAGAGACGCTCGCGTAAGACAATGCCGGCCTCCGCGATAAGCGCGCGTTTTCGCTACCCGGCTCGAAGGGGTTAACTTACTTAATGTTTTTCACAATCATGATATCAACATACAGTGGTACCTCGACATATGAGTTTGATTCGTTCCATAACCTTGCTCGTATCTCAAAGCAATTTTCCCCATTGAAATTAATTGAAATGTCATTAATCCATTCCAGCTCCCAAAACAGCACCTCAGTTGTTTTTGTTGTTTTTTAATAAGAAAAATGTATTTACAAGAAGAAACATTTATTTATAAATAACAAATACATATTCTATAAAAACATAATTAAAAGAGAAAGTGAAGTACTTATGGAAGCGCTTAATTTTCATCACTGGTCTTCGCTTTTTTGTCACGCTTTGCTCATTTTCACCTGCAGATCGTTTAAAAAAAAAACTGTCCAAGGAGGCAAGTTCCGTTGAACAACTCTGATGCACGACCAGTTGCAACTTTTTTGGGTTGACTTTATCCACGAACTCTACAACTTTCTCCCACATTCCCAAGATCTCCTTTATATCTTTTTTAAGGATAACGTCCTCCATCTCTGGCTCCTCTTCAAAACTAACTTTCGTTGAACTACCGTATGCTGCTGCGAATTTAGATCGTGTAACTCCTCGATTGTCAGCTCCTGAGACTGTTCCTTGACAAGTTCGTTCACATCTCTCTCATCCACCTCCAGACCCATGGATTTTCCCAGAGAAACGAGTCTAGTCTGAGGTGAGAGAAACTGTTAGATGCTGCACATGACACCAACATGCGTGTGCATGTTGTGGTCATGTGCAGCGATGTAGTGTGCAATTCCTCGTATCTCAAATCTTGCTCTCATCTCAAAGCAAAATATCGCTCACTCGGCAGCTCGTATCTCAAAACACTCGTATATCGAGGTACCACTGTATTTAATTTGATAGCACAATGTTACTGCATATTTTGTAATGATCTTTTTTATTTTAAAAATTTATAGAAGTCATGTTCTTTAAATTTTGCTTTTAAGATCTTCCCCATCATCATAAAGAATATTGATTTACATTCACATGACAATTACATATGTAAGAGATGATTAGAAAAGTTTTTATTCAACTACTTTGTGTGACCTGGTAAGTTCATTTTAACTCCAAGCACTTATCTTTGACAGTAAAGCAGTTACACAATACCACAAAGTTAACAAACAGTTCTTTTCATGTTAGAAATATTTCTAAAAATCATACATCAAAGTTTCCATGTTAAATACTTTGTCAATATGACATCTTGAAAGATGAATACATATTAAGTATAAACTAAATAAAATTCGAGAATTCAAATAATAAACTTTTTGGCAGAAACATTATTCCTGGTGTAGATAAATAACAACAAATCGAACTTCTTAATTGTATTAGTAACTATTTTCTCAGAAATGCAAAATTATTGCATCAACAAAATTCATCTCCATATATTTTTTCCCCTCCAACAGAAGGCAAAATGTGTGATGATTGCTCAAATTTAAAATTAAAATTTTGACATGGTTCGTTTGATAGAATGCAGTTTTCTTAGAGATAGAAGGAAATGGAACAAACTACACATATGAAATCTTAATTACACTACATTGTGAAGAATTTATTATAATACTATAATATATATAATATATATATTTAATTTTTATAATACTATAATGCAAAGTAATAATTTTTTCCCCTAAATTTAAATTTTACACATACACATCACATGCATCCAGATGATGCCTAAGACTTTTCATATTTTAATGAATCATGTTTAGAAGAATTTTTTTGCCAAAATCTGTATTGTTTCCATAGAAATGTGATCAACCACTGTTTTGAAAAACAATTTGATTGAAGCTTCAGAGCTGGTGGCTTTTTTTTTTTTTTTTTTTTTTGTTTAAACATAATTTCCAGTTTCCATGAAAAATCCCTGAGAGTATTTGATTTAGTTGCCCAACAGAACACCACAATGAAGATGTTACATATACTCATGTCAAAACTGAAACAATCTACCAATCAAAATGTATGGCAATTTAGTTTAAAATAAGCAACTTAAAAACATTTCACTACTTATATACATATTATATATTCTTTTTACACCTCAAGAATACCAAAACTTATGCAGCAGCTATAGAAGTTTAATTGGTGATACATATATTCATGCACTTTTGTAGTTCACCAATCAGTATCAAACCAAAGTGAAAGTAATATATATTTTGTTTGAATTGAAATGAAAGTAATGCACATTTCTGAAAATAATGTATATTTTGTCTTTGCCAATATAGTCAATAATAAAATTATCATTTTTTCACAAAGTTTTTAGAAATGAAATAAATTGGTACTTATGTATTAACGCAACCACCTTGGCACAAGTTGGTAATTTAATACAGAAGGAAAGGTATTGATCATACAAGCATTGCAGTTACATGTATGTTTGGTGTGAAAATAAGCTGTTGACTTGTTATTGTTTTGCTTCACCATAAGCGAGACAAAAGAAAAAAAAAAAAAAAGCAAATACAATTATTATTATATTAAATATGAATTTGTTGCTATACAAAAAAAAAAAAAAAAAAAAAAAAAAAAAAAAAAAAAAAAAAAAAAGGGTGTCGACCAGCCATACTATATTATTGGTTACAAAGTACTCAGCAGTGATGCCATGAGACCTTCTCATTTGAAGTGATGTTTGTTGACAAAACATAGTGCTGTAAAATTTGAATGTTTTAAAATATGAAATTGGATAATATTGGATCCTTTGCTCAATCATCTGAAAAAGTGCTCGAAGATTGATAAGAGTTATTTCTACTCATCATAAATGCAAAGAAAAACCATATTATTGAAGGAAAACTTGTCAATCCCCGTCTGTTGAATGCAGTTGATACTGCTGTTGAACTAAAATAAAAATGTTCAGAAATAGTGCTTTATGACAACTCTCTGAAACTCATACACTGCATTTATGATATAGCTGTAGTCAGTCAATCATAAATGCAATGTTTAGCAAAAAATCAGTTAGTGCAAGCTGTGAAAATGTCTGTTTTTGCAATATATTTGGATGAGAGTACATATTTTGCAAAATGTTGTCAACTGTTAGTTTTCGTTTGATTTATACAAAATGAAACAATCAAAGATGAGATGGTGTTTTTCCAAAGAGTTAACAACTACTTCTAAAGCAATTCATAGACTGACAGCAGTCCCTGGATTCTTTGCCCATCAGCGGCTGAGCGGTAAAGTCGCTGAACACTGGTAGTTCAGTCAAAGATTCAAATCCCATGAACGGGCTGGCTGTATGGGTGTTTCCATGGTTTTCCCCATGTGTAATGTGTATATGAGCCAGTTTCCTTTAGAAAGTCCTCCATGAAGGCATCCCTCCCTCTGAGATATAGCCCTCAAGGCTTTACGGTAATCACATACCCCCACCCCCCAAAAAAACACCCGGATTCTTTTGAAAATGTGAACTGTCATGTCAAAAGTAGATATGTGTATGCACAAATCACACTTCATCAATGTTGGATTTTGCTCAAGATTTAGACAGTCACAAAAAAAAAAAAAAAAAAACCTCCCAATGTTACAGCTATTCACTGTGTTATACATCATCAAGCCTTGGCAGCCAAGATACTTCCTAAAGTATTCAATGACGTCTAAAAATTATGCATCAAAATGCCACTCGTGTTAAAAAGAGTGCACTAAATACTGGAATTTTTACAATCCTTTGTGAAGATGTGGGAATAAAACACTATTATTTCATATGAAAGTATGCTGACTGTCAAAAGAAAATACATTAGCAAAATTATCTGAACTTTGAGATTAAATGATTCAGGTTTTGTAAATTAAAAATCAAACTGAATTGTATGTGGGATTCTGAATGCGAAGTGTTCAAGCTATATTGGCTTATCTATAAGATATTTTTGATTCATTGAACTCGCTGAAGTTAAAATCATAATGCAGAGATTCTGAAGATGGATAAGCCATTATTTGGGGTAAAATAAGTTTATCCTAGCATAGCAGAGCAAGCACTACAACTGTATTTACCATTTTCAAGCATTTATTTGTGCAGAAGGGCATTTTCAGCAGCTGCAGCAATAAAAATGAAGTATAGAAGCAAGCTCAATATTGCAAATGATTTGCATTGCAAACTTTCTTCTGCTCAAACAAGAATAGAAAACTTGTCAAAAATATGCAAACTCATTGATTTTTTTTTCCTTACCATATGTGCATGAAACCAAGATAGTTCTATAATAAAACCTTTATAAATTATATTTTTTTTTACTCTTTTTTTCTTACCTTACAGGCAAATTTATTATTATCAGGGAAGGGGTTGCAGGAATTTTCATTTTTGGCAACGAGAAGATGTGATTTAAAAAAAAAAAAAAAAAAAAAAAAAAAAAAAAAAAAAACCTTACATTTGGGAAATTCTTCTTTACGAGATTTTGCAGCAAAATTCTGCATTCTTGCAGAAATTTTACAGAAGTCTCTTCTACTGCTGGCAAAGTCCACAAGTGCATACTTTAAAATTAAGTTTAAGGGGAACAGTGGCGGCTTGTGGCTAAAATTATTGGGGGTGCTGTTCCAAAAAAATTTAACCTTTGTTTTAAAATTATGTAAAAGGAAACAAACATGTATCAAAAGAAAATTTATTTTGAAACTTCATGAAATCTTACAAGAAAAAAATTAAACATTTCTTAATTACTTTAACCAAAATTATTACAGTTCAATCTTTGTCTAGTCATTTAAAAATGAAGTCCATTCCTCTTGTTTTAATTTACACGAAAAAATCAATAATTTTCTCCTTGATCTCTGGATGACAACTGAGGAAATTTTTCTTTATTGAAAGCAATGCAAGTGCATTTAGTCTTTCCGAATTCCTAGTGCTTCTTAAAAAGTTTTCATTCTTTTCAATGTTGAAAAGCAGCATTCTGCCTTTGATGTAGTCATGGGAACTCTCAAGAGAATTTTTATCAGTTACGTAATTTCACTAAGAACATCATCTAGATAATTTTCCAAGATAAATTTCAGTAGCTCAATTAATTTGCAGTATTCATGGATATCAGATCATTGATTTGCCAATCATTGGATATGCTTCAGTGGTCAGTACTATTTCTTCTGCAGAATGTTCATTCCTAAAACTAAGCATTTCTTGTTAAACAATTTAGCAGCTGCTAAGTGTTTAGTGGAAGAATATCTGTGCATTATATCAATACATAGTTATAAAGTCACATATTTCCTTAGCTTCTGCCATCAGTGTCTTTGAAAAATTCTTACAGTACTTTGAGTTTCTTAATTCTAAAATAGCAGTTTTGAAAACTTTAAACACACTAATTTCTCTGAATTGCATTTTGTTGTATATTATTTCAACATGAGGTATCTGATAAAAAATCTTGAACCAAAACTTGAAATTATTATCATTTAGATATTTTAAAATTCCTGTTATTTTTGCAATAGTTTGATCTGCATTTGATGTTGACTGAATTTCAGTAAGGCAATATTTTAAAAGCTGCAAATTTTTATGAACTCTGTTTATGGCCCGTATGATGAAGTTCTACCTTGTGGAGGAATACCACATGCACAGAGTAAAAAGAAATCACATTTTCAGCAACATGCCAGAATTTCAGCACTGCAAGGCGCAGAACAGCCAAACACCATGTTGCTGAAACTGTGAAGCGCACAGTTCCAAACAAAGACTTTCGTAGCTTTTTCACAAAGTGGGGATGGCTACTGATATAAAGCTTCAGGATAATGTATTGTAAAAGTATAAAGAAAGAATTAAAGGGTACACTATATTAAATATTGTGTGTGTATTAATTTATGGCAAAGCACACTAGGGCTATCTGCCTAAGGGAGGGATGCCTTTCGTGGAGGACTTTCTAAGGGAAACTGGCTCGTATACACGTTACACATGGGGAAAACCACGAAACGCCCATAGCCGTTCGCGGGATTCGAATGAAATAGTAATAAGTGGAAATAGGTGGGTGCTGCAGTTCCAAGTGCTTATTACGAGCCGCCACTGAAGGGGAATATATATATATATATATATATATATATATAAAAAACAAGTTGTTTAAAACACTGTTGGAACTTGGAATACAAAAAACAGAATGCATACAAAAATAGTGATATTGTTTGAGTTAAAATATGCTTACGAGCATGGTTGCTTGAAGAATGGTTATGTGGATGGTTGCCAGAATTTGGCACATTCTGAAAATTTGGCGACTTCTACTTGAGTGGTTGTGATAATACGCAAGTACCAATAAATTAAGATACATTAATCTTTACCTTCTTTGATATATTATTAAAAACTTTGCTTAGTGAAGCTACAGTGGCATCTTGTGTGTAACTGTCACCATATGCATCAAAGAATTCACTTAGTTTTTCACGTGTTTGCTCAGTAGAATGAAGAAGGTCATCAGGAACCCTGAAAAGAGAAAAGTGTTACTGAAAACTTTAAAAGAGTGATTTTTCCCCTAAGCAATACACATATCATAAAAACACACTTCCATTATTTAATTAATGACAGAAAAATGAATGAAATACATGACCTGATCACGAATATTACTAAAACATAACTGCACATACCAGAAACACAGAGTAATTTGAAAAGAAATTCTAAGTTCTTGTATGAACATCATGCCATTATCCAATGAACAGATGAAAAGACAAACTTTGTCCATCAGCTGTTGCAGGGTAGGGTGAAAGCATAATGTACACAAACAAAGCTTGGCTCTTAACTTTCCACATTATATAAACATTTGCATTTCTGATATTTCTCTGAACACTTTTTTTAATTTTAATTTTAATTAAACAATTTATTTGCTACAATGTAGGCTCTTTAGAGTTTTAGCTCAGCTCTGTAGAAAAACCATTGGAAACGTGAGGAAGAGAAAAAGATGAAAATAAAAATAAGAAGTTTAATAAGATTATACATACTTGAAAAGAAATACATACATGATTATATTTACACATATACATGAGACGATTATAAATATTCAAATTATACATTCAAAGTTACCAAAGAAAGAAAATTCCAAAACTCAGAGTGGTCAATTGATTCAGTAGCTACATGTCACATGACCGATAATATAATTTTTTTCATAATCTTAGATAGAAGTAAAAACGGAGCCAATAACAATTGCTAGTGGTACTCAAATGAAGTTAGAAGGCAGTGGAGAAGGATACTTATATCTCACAGTGAATGAAGACAATAAAATAGAAAAAAACATACATCAAAGGAGGACTAATATCCATATGAAAAATCACAAATAAGGCATTTACAGATGAATTTGAAGAAGATACTTGCCAAATAAAAAAGAAAAATAAAACCGTAGGAATTGCTGAAATAGAAGGAAATTTATGTCCAGATGCTAACACAGAAGAAGGAATTGAAAAAGAAGAAATTCCCCTACTTACCAAGAAGATCTGAAAGAACGACTAACGGAATACAGCCAAGCAGATTTTCATACATGGAAAAGAATGTTAAAAATAAAAATTCCTAAAGATTAGCAAGAACAGAAAACTTTTCCAACCAAAGAAAAGGAGGTGTGGTTGAAATTCATAAACACACACACACACACACAAAAAAAAAAAAAAAAAGAAAAAAAAAAAAGAACTCTTTAAAGAGAAATAAAACACGGGAACTAGTTATCTTTCAAAAGGAAAGAAAGCAATTGGAAATAAGTGGACATTCAAAATAAAATCTGATGCTTCAGGAAACATTATCAGATATGTAGATCATCTAGTTGCTAAAGGATGCTACCAAAACTTCGGGTATGACTATTAAACCTTTGTGACAATCTTAAAATACACTACAATAAGGACTATCTTGGCAACAGCAACTGAAAAAACATGCATGTAAACTATATGACAAATCAAATAAATGAATTATGAGTTCCTTACACTGTTACACTTAGTGTTGCTTTTGGATATATTTAGTGTACCTTCTTTATTTTAAATTTTGGAAAGCCTTGACTCCAGTTTATGATGGTGGGAAAGCATTATTTATCAGAGGAAGAATATATTCACATGATAAATGAGCCAATTAGTGACAAAAATTTAATGCTTATAGATCACATAATGCAGGAATTTGCATTTCTTCATGCTTCAAGATTTATTCAGTCTTCATTTAAATTTTTTTACTTGTTCTTGAAAATAGTCTTTGTTGTATTTTATTTCATGAAGTTTATTAATGTTTTCGAAAATTATTTCTCAATATAAGCAAATTTTTAATGTATTTTTATGAATATTAAAGGGAAAAATTATTAAATGCTAATTTTAACATGTATGGCAGCTTAAATAATAATCTAAAATGATACTGAAAATTAAGATATTAGAGCTTAAACATCCTTTTGGAAAGTTTTTTCTAAAGTCTGGCTTAGCAACGCAAAACTCCTGTCCTGTGACGTTATTCTTTTTTTTTTTTTTTTGCTTCCACCTCATTCTGAAGGAAAATCTTAAAGAACGATGCACCATCAAAGGTTAAAGGGAAATTTAATTTGATTCTTGCATGTTGAAGAGATAAAATAACTTTAAATATACAATACATAATGCTCAGCCAATCACAGAGCCGAAAACTTATCATCCAGTATATACTGATATTGAATAATACCAAAACAAAGTTAAGGTATAATTTTCCACTGCAAATTGCTCCAGAATGTAAATTCTGAAAAGATTTTACAGTAAATTTTTAAGATGAAGATGCAGATACACAAAGCTTCATATGTGTAACATGAATAAGAAGCCAAAAGCCTTCATGAAGGTATCATCTCCTTAAGCAGGCAGTCCTCATGTGCTTTGCATGTTCAAATCCAAGCTAACCACAAGCTTCACACCTAAGCAACATTATACATGCGTGTTTAAGAATTTTAAAGTATACTGTTTTGTTTTAATATTTTTTTAAGTTATCAAGGTAAATGTTTTTATCCACATATATGTTTTCCACAAAGTATTTGAATAAAAAATGCACTGCATAATTTTAAATTAAGCAAAATGCAGTTTTAAATATGAATAAATCCTACCATGCACGCTGCCCAAGTAAAATAATGTAATCAATTTCTTTTATCCTAAGTACCATGTCTCACTATCATTATTCTAGTGACCTTCCATTCATTTTATTTCACTTTATGATATATTTGTTTTATTATTTATTAATATATCACTTAATGCTGTATTCAGTTTTTAGTTGTTCATTATTTTGTTTATTACTATTTATTTTTTTCCTTTCTTTTTGACAGCCTTTTACAAGGCCCAGGTACTTTCAGTTTTTGAAACTAAGCCCTGGATAACCGGGATATGAAAAAAAAAACCATATATTTATCAAAGCTATTAAATCTGTTAACATACCAAGGTAACAATGTTTTCTCTTCAAAGCATCGGTTGAGCCAATCAGATGTCACAACATCATATGCATTAGTACTGATAATATTTCTAACTTTAGCTGTAACTTTATCAGAGACAACACAAAATGTCCTGCTTCCTGATTTAAAAGAAAGTATATAATATAAAGCAATATACATAGCTTTGAAACTGAATGAACTAATTCTTTTTCACAAAATTTTTATGACAATGAAATAGTGATGTCGAACTATATATTAAAATATGGCATTATATAAAATAAATACTCAAATATAAATCACAGCTGAAACTATAAATCTATGATTACAATATATATACATATATGTGTGAAGTTTAGGATTATGTATCCTTAGATTGCCAATAGATGGCGGTAGTGTTTGCTTGTAAAAAGAAACTGTGATGTCATAATTATGTATATGTATCAGTTCGTCTTTGGTGTTCGTCAATAAACATTGTATGGAATAATGCTCCTCTGTTTATTACTTTAACTACAATCCAGTCTGATTTATTAGAGACTTACATATTTTGTTTATGCTCCCGCCCATGCATCCGTAAATTGATGCATCAATTTTACTGAACTTCAAGATTATAAAGTCTTTCAGTTGGTCTTCTAATAACACCCTTATCCAACTGAATCTCACAAGATCTAATTCTATCATCTATTCCGTGAAATAATTCCTTAATCCTACCTATCTTCCAGTTACAGCGTTTCACATTATCTTCTCGTACAAGTACAACATCATTAATTTTAAACACGGGAGAATTCTTTGGAGGTTTTGAAAACATGACTGATCTTAATTCTAACAAATATTCTTTATAAAACCTTTTCCAAAAATGCTTTAATATTAATTGCCTATGCTTTCATCTTTTAATCAACTGAGATCTTGTAGATTCTAGTTTAGATTCAGGTGAAGGTAAAACAGTCAATCTAGATCCAGTTATAAAATGAGATGGTGAAAGAGGATCAGGTTCATTTGGTTCATTGTATACATACGTTATAGGTCTAGAATTAATAACAGCTTCAACTTCAACTAAGACAGTATACAGTTCTTCATAATATAAAGAAGCTTTACCTAAGAATATGTGTGTGTGTGTACACATACACAATTTCATTGACTTTAGCACTGGAGATCACTCACTACTCCCATAGATGAAAAAGAATATACATAAATCAATATTTTAATATTAAAGTCCTCTAACATTATTTTCTGATTAAGATTATTTATATAAATAACCAAAAAACAGAATAGTTACTACTAACAAATTATTGTATTAAAATTAATCAATTTCCTCATAAATTTCAGCATCCAAATGAAATTTATACTACCCTTAAACATAATGCCATGCATGTAAGATTACTGAAGACATGATACGAGAGCACTTTTTGGACTTCTGAGTTATTTACTCCCAAGAGCATGCAAAATAATTGAGTAAATATTTTACTTTGTGGATAATAAGAATTCCTTTAAAGCCTGAAGTCTTTTTGCCCAGCTGCAAGTTTGTTAGTTAATTGTTTAAACTTTGATATTCTTTCAGAATCATGAAATTCTGAATGATATGATTAACTATACTTATCAACCAAACCTTGCTACTAATGAATACTGAAAATATATTTAGCAATTATATAATATTTAGGTAAAATGAGTCTAGTGAAGACTTGCTTATTTAACATGTATTGCAAATAAAGTTTAAAAATGTATCAGGTCTTTGTATTGTGTATAAAAGATATGCATATTTGTGATGGAGGAAGAAAACATTCAAGGAGAATGAAATAGATACTTATGAGCAATATCTGTTAAAACAACAGTTAATGTATACTTAGTGCAAGTTACATATAAAAATGGTAAAAGTAGAGAGGTATTTCTGAGGAAATGGAGGCTAGATTTCTATAAGTAAATCCTACATGAACTTAAATATGTGTCTAGCATGTTTAGATAGATATTTAAGGTCCAAAGGATTCATCAAACATTTACCCTACATATTAATATCAAAACCATTTTTATATTGATACATTTATGAGAACTGGTAACAACTTATGTTTTTTCGTATTTTACGTTTTTAAAAATAAAATATCTGATGTGGACACCACACTAACTTTGTTGTATGGCCTATTAAATTATACTTTTAACCTGCACCTCATTTAAACTTACTTCCTTGAATTTCAACATAAATATATTTTACATTCAATCAGTTAAGTTCTCATCTCGCAGAAAGGCAAAAATACATAAAAACTCAGTACATCCTCATTAAAAATTGTATACTACAGAAAAACCTAAAACACCATATACAGTTCAAAACTATTATTATTATTATTATTTTACAATTAAAGTGTTTCCACACAAAAAGAAGCAATTTGGCCAACAAGCAGGAAGATCAAATTTTTGGTGCACAAAATTGAAAGTTAACTTTTGGTCCCACTGGCAAAAAGACACTGCATTTGGCACACTATATGACTTAATTCACTGTTCTACTAAGAGTTTCAAATGTACACGAATGGCAGCCTTGTTAGGCCTAGAGCCACTTAAAATTTAAATTTTTGATAATTCTACAACTACTGCATGTAGAATAAAAGCATAAAACCCTTTAGCAGAACGTAAGAACAATATAATACCCACTTTTAAAGCAAAAAATTCACAATTTGCCATCATATAAGAATAAGAAACTGAGCTTACCAAACCGAGTAAAAGAAAATATATATATATATATGTTTGGTGTAGCTGATTGCAATGAAAAAAGGGGAAGTGCACGACTACATGTTATAGCAGTCCCAAATATACAAAATTTCAACATTCTACGGCTATTTGTTTTCAAGTTATGTGAGATACATATGTATGCATGCACAGACATCACACACACACACACACACACAAAATCTCTTCTGAATCTATTTTAAATCTATTCTGGAAAAAACAGTCTTTTATTCTCTCTGTAGGTCTGTTTAGATAATCAATTGTGAAATCATATATTTTTGCAATAAATCATATTTTCACATATTTATATTTTATAGCTACCTGTAAATATGAATTAATTTAAAATCATCAATTATTTATTAATATCTAGATATCTTTATTTCATTATTAAATTATTTTCTTCTAAGAATCTTCTTTTTATTTAATTTTTTTTAGTGTGAAAATATACGAGGGCTATCCAGAAAGTAGATTACGTTTTGGAATAAAAAAATAAACAAAGTATAGGAAACAAATTTTATTATATACAGATGAAAGCCACACTCAAATACTACTTTTCTACATAGTCACCATACAAATTAAGGCATTTATCGTAGCGATGTACGAGCTTGGAAATTCCTTCGTCGAAAAATTCGGCCGCCTGCGCCTTCAACCACTTCGTTACCTCTTCTTGCAGCTGTGCGTCGTCATCAAAACGCTGCATAGCCAGCCACTTCTTCATTGCTGGGAATAGGTGGAAGTCGCTCGGTGCCAGGTCGGGACTGTACGGCGGATGAGGAAACAACTCCCACTTAAAAGATTCAAGAACTTTACGAGTGACATTTGCCGTGTGGGGCCGGGCGTTGTCGTGAATCAACAAGATCTTAGAGCTCAACATTCCTCTGCGCTTGTTTTGAATTGCTCTTCTGAGTTTTTGGAGAGTTTGGCAATACCTTTGAGAGTTTATTGTAGTGCCTCTTTCCAGGAAGTCCACCAAAATTACACCTTTTCTGTCCCAAAAAAACAGTCGCCATCATCTTCCTTGCCGACATTGTTTGCATGCATTTCTTGGGTTTTTGGGGAGAACTTGTGTGCCCCCACTGCATTGATTGCAATTTCGTTTCACAGTTCACATGTTTCACCCATGTTTCGTCACCAGTAACGATGCGATCGAGTAAAGAGTCACCATCCTTATGGTAAGCGTCCAAAAAGTTCAACGCTGCAGCCATTCGCTGATTTTTGTGGTCCTCTGTCAAGATTTTTGGAATCCATCTTGCACAAAACTTGTGGTAACCAAGCTTTTCGCTGATGATTTCGTGCAACAAACTTCGCGAAATTTGTGGAAAACTCAAAGAAAGTTCCGTTATTGTGAAATTTCGATTTTCACGGACTTTAGCATCGACTTTTTCGAGAAGTTCGGCGGTCACTATGCTGGGTCTCCCACTTCGATCTTCGTCGTGAACATTGGTTCGGCCATTTTGAAATCTTATGACCCACTGACGCACTCCACCTTCAGTGATAATGTTGTCCCCATACACTTCACGAAGCTGCCGATAGATTTCTATCGGTTTACAGTTTTTTGCAGTCAGAAACCTTATTACTGAGCGCACCTCGCAGCTCGCAGCTCGCGGGATTTTCAATTAACGCAGACATTTCAAACCGTCACAGTATCTGAACGGAGCACAGCACGAACCTCTCACTAGCACGGCTAGATGCAGACTGAGCTGCGCAACGCTCTGACCCCAAGATGGCCGCGCTAGCCCCGCCCCTAGCGGACACAGACGGAAACGTAATCTACTTCCTGGATGGCCTCGTAATAAATAGATTTAATGAAAGATATACGACAAAAATGAAATTATAATAAGGAAAGAATATTGTAAATTTTTAGAGAAAAAGATTTTTATTTAATATTTCAATTCTACATATATCATTTATACCCTTACTTAAAAGAACTTTTGGAATGGCAATGTTAAAAGCATGAGTTTTCCCAATTTTTATTGTTCACTTTAATGACAAACTATTCATAATTATGACACACACTGAATATATTGGCTGTTAACTTATGTGTTAAAACATCGTCAGTTAACAACAAATAATAAATTAATTATGAAAAACATTATGAAAGTTGTGAACAAGTTTACATGCATAAATATCAACAAGTTTTAACTTCATTCAGATTTGGAAATTCAGTGCATGTTAATGAAGCACATGTTGAAAATGTCATGTAAAGAAATATTTTCATTAACATTTGTACCAAAGGTTTGTACATCTTATCAATCAACTTTTTAAATGCCAAATAAAAAATAATTTTCTTTACAATTTGACAATATACTGGCAGTAACGAAAAACCTTTTATGATTACATTTTCATTCTATATCAGTAACAGAACATCCTTTATTAACATTGAACGTCATCATTTTTTACATAAATCAAATGGGTAAATTTCAGGTAACTTTGATGAAGTAACATTTTTATAGAAACAAAATTTGAAGTTTAGTTTAAATGCAATGGGACCTAAAAAATGTAAGGCAAGGATACCAAAACCTAGAATTGATAATAATGATGTTATTTACACTCTAAAAAACATCTAGTGAATATTTTCAGTTCACAGGTACTTCACAAATTTTCGACAAAATAATAGTAAGACGTCTCAAATAAAATTTTTCATGGGAGGTCATAGCTGACATTTTTATATACAATTATGAAGAAAACTAATATGTGACAGAAGTTGCTCAGTTAACTGATAAACTATTAGAAGTGTGATATAAGCTATGAAATGTGTATAAAATAGTGACAAAAGGTCTGTGACAAATATCTTTTTTTTTTTTTTTTTTCTTTTTTTCATTTCTTAAAGAAATATAAATTAAAATATACATTAAATAATGTTATACAGCAGAAATAATATTAAAAATAAAATGAAGCACTACATATTACCAGGATTTTGAACAAATTTTCCTCCATACTCAGCAATTTTTCTTTCCAGCTGCTGTTTATTTTCCAGAGATGCAGACATAACACATATCTCCTTGTCTTTCAATAATTCTGAAATCTTAAGTAAGATTAAGTAATTAAAATGAATTGATTTATAAAAATGGCAGATTATTAAGACAGAATGTTATAACTACTGATCCTTATGTTAAGAAGGACAATAACCTTAACAAAATTCATCAGAGGAAAGGAAGTAAAGTGCTTAACCTTACAATTGAAGTTATAAATTAACTCACAGAATCAAGTTACAGATTTAAAAAGTTTCTTGATTTAAAAATTTTTTCTTGTTTCTCAAAGAAAACTTAAGCAAATGATCTCAATTTAAAGGATTATAAAAAAGTTCCAAATATTTTTCAACTTTAAATTTTTAAGGAATTTTCTCAGAAAGAATAAGCCAATTTACTAATCATCTTTAAACTACAATTCATCCCTGATCACAAGTAAGAATTGTCTTCATTTCAAAGAGACAATAGAACAACTGTTCTATTCCTGCCAATCTATAAAAGTGAACTATAGTCTCCGGATATGAAAATAATTTAGTCATTTAAAATGAAGTACAAAAAACAGAAGATTATTGCAGAATTTATAAGAGAATAATGAATATTTTCAGATTTATGGAATGAATCAGTGGTATCTGAATGAAATTTCAAATTTTTATTACAATGTAGCATCTAGTGCAATCTACCTTTCATCAAAATCTTGAATATACAACTGAAGATTGAACAAAAATTCTAATGAGGAGGAAATATAACACATTACATTCAGGAATATACTTATGACAGCACAGAAATTCTTAACAATATATGAAATATATAACTTTATATATATATAAGTAAACAAGGTAATTATTAGTAAGAAATTGACCAATACTCGCGCTTATTTATATATATATATATGTATGCAATATTGCAGAAATATTGAATGCATTGCTGTGATCCATTATGAAGAGCAAACTTGGTAGCCAAGGCAGATTAAATATTAATTCTTATTTCAATTTACACTTGTGGGGATACTCTAACCATGCCTTATTCAACACATTTACGTTTTTGATACTATTGCAATAAGAAGAAAACAATGTGGCAGTGTCCTAGTGGCTACAGAAGTAGAAGTACAGTGCTTAATTATCCAGTATGGCAGCTTATTAAAACACACATTTTGGTTTAGGAAATTCTGAGTTCATTAGATGGTCATTGTTATGTGTAAGTCATATTATATGGATTAATCTAGAAATAACACAGTCCAGAAAAAGTTATTACTATATTTAGAGTAGAGAAAGGGAATATCCAAATTAAAATGAGGAAATAAGGACTCTTTGCTAACTCAAGTCATAATTTTGATTTACACATTTTTATCTTACATTGAATTATTATTTTTATTTTTTCATATAATGAAATGTAGATTCTTTTATATATATATATATATATATATAATAGAATGTTTAGTGTAGTTCGTAAAGGCCAGTTTATGAATATTAATACATCAGTTAGTTCAAGTGGATATGCCTAATAGATGGAAATATTTGTACTTGGAAAAAGCTTGTAGCGCCTTCCAGTCTATGTAAAATAAGATAAATAGAAAAGTAATAATAAAAGTAAAAAACCACTATTTCAATAATACTATTACAAATGAAGGTAAAATTCACGTTATATTAAAAAAAAAAAAATAGCTACGAAATTTTGAAATTTTTGTGTTTATTCAATAATAATAATAATAATAATAATAATAATGGGGTGTATAAAATTTTTATCTTTGTGATATTGTATGAAAGGAGGATTTGAAAAGTCTTTTCGGAAGAAATATTATTATGTAGACTTTAAAACACAAAGACTTTTGGACTAAAAATTAAATAGGACTCCAAAATATTATTAGAGTTTATATTGTTATGTGGGTATGGGCTTGTAAGATTGAATGCAGACAGAACCAATGTTTGCTTGATAAAATTTATTAAAAAAAAAACAATTCTGCAACTTTTCCCTCAAAAGTACTCTTCTCAGTATGACAGAGCACAATCAATAGTTACCACTTCAAACTGCTAAAAACGTTGAACCCAAGGCAATACTAGAAAAGAAAAAAAACTCAAATGTGTTAAGCTTGCGCAATGGTCTCTCGATTCTCTGAGCTAAACTGAAAAGTGATATTCTCTTCTATCTTATAAAGGTTTCCCTTATCCACCGAGAAATTTACAGTACCTTCAATTTCTCGAAATTGCTGAAAGGCATACGCAGTTACAGTTAGTTACATAAGGCCGGATATACATTTACATAGGAATCGTACCAAATAGTCGGCAAATGGTCAGTAAGTCTGGTGGCAAAAAATGTCACCAAAACCATTGCCAGCAGAGATATCCATTTAACTCAAATTGACTTCGCCCTGTTTTTTAGTAGTGATAACCACAATGAATGTTGGCAAACTCTTCATGAAAAGATATGGCAAATCAGCCCCCAAATAACACTTATTGAGTACGTAAATTATACCCAGGAAATACAGACACTATGTTTTTATGGGAAGAATGTATTTTGGAAATCATATAAACTTTTTTAAACACTGACAGTCAGTGTCTAATGAAAAAGACATATTATATCAGAAAATTATATTTTTTATGGGAAGAGATATCGGCCATCAAAACTGAATAGCAATTAAAAATACAAGCTTTTGGATCTGAAACTCCATTTAATTTCTCTTTCTATGCTATTATACAAATCATTATCCCCAAACTCTCCCTCTTAAACTTGCATTTAGTAACCAACAGATGAATAAAAACTTTCTGCACTAAAAGCTTATTTATATATTTTGAGATTTTAGCGAGATTTAAAATATTCTAATATTGTCAGGTGAGTGAGGTATTGAACAATCATTACTTTTTCACATTGCTTTTAGACAGACTAATTTTTTCCCCCATAAAATTCTGCGGGATTTAAAATTGCATGATTTTCAGGATTTATCTAAGATTATTACATACCTTTTCTTTGCCAAAATATGATAATATCTTGTAAAGTACCTGATTAACTAATCAGATAGAGATTATAGTCCCATTCCATTACAAAAGATAAATTTTGTATTTTTTTTTTTTAACTTCCATTGTATAAAGTAACAAACATACCTGCTGAACATCACTTATGTCGGTAGGGCGGAAATGAGGAGCAATGGTGATCATTTTTTCTTTTTGCAATTTTTTCTTCTTTGGAGATGGTTCCTCCTCTTCTTCAACAATATTTCGGGTAGCAAGCCTTCCTTCAGCAAGCTTGTTAAATATAGCAAATAAAATTATGTTATGTTCAGTTACAAATAAATTTGCTTTTTCTAAAATAAAGACAAAGTATTAGGCTATTGCTACGGAGAAATTAAGAAAAAGTAGCAAAAATTTTCACCATCTGTAAAATTCATTAGCAATATCTTGAATAATTTTTGTAAAATACAGAACTCATTCTATATTTTTCTGATGATAGATGAAAAACGCTGTCTATCACTACTGCATACTACTGAACACTATTACATATTGGTAAGCCATACATGAACACTGACACTCTATCCAATGACTAACAAAAATGTATTTTTATTGTACAATAATCACACAAAACTAATTCCCCCAAATTATAAATAAAGGAAAAAACAAAATACACTAAATTAAAATATACATACTAAAAAAAAGTTAATACTTTTTAATGTGAAAAATGTGATATGTTACATACATACAGAGAGAAGCCAGTGACAGATTTTTGAAATGGGAATGGGCTCAGCTAAATAAACTTTTCAAGCCCTTAAAATGTGAGGCCTTTTGCGCTTCTGATTTGCATGTCCTTATGTACCTACCGCTGATAGATTTTAATGAATTTGAATTTATAGATGATACTTTATGCTCTAGTTCTTGAAAAGAAATGAAAGAAGCTGAAATTTTTTAAATTATGGCTATAAAACTTAGTAATCAGTTAGATAATATCAGAGCAAAAATGCACAGGCAGAATGAAAAACTTTTGTTACTATATTTTCCATACAATTACCCCCTTCCCCAGGGAAAAAAAAAAAAAAAGGATTCCATTACAATATTTAAAATCAGATTAAATAATCAATTAGCTCACTACAAAAAATAAATGATACTAGTTACTTTTTTCCCTAGGACAAATGCATTATACATTTACAAAACAAAAATTATTTCTGAATACATTTACATTTCTCAGATTCTCTAATTCTGTTGTTGTCATGCATTGGTACCATGGTTTATCATAGCGAATTTTCTCAACCCTTGGAAAACGTAATGTATAATTTGTTGTAAAACAACTGCTTCGGACTATCTCAGCAGCTTTTACCTGGGGGGGGAAAAAGTGAAATACAATAAATTACTAATAAATATAATGCTATTACATAGAGATTAAATAATACAACAAACATTTGCTAATTCAGCTGATAGTTACAAATATTTTATGATTAAATAATACAACAAACATTTGCTAATTAAGCTGATAGTTACAAATATTTTATGACTACAATAAAGTACTAATTTGAAAAATAAAACATTATATTGATGAAAATTACCAACATATATTGTATAAATATACAAACAATTAAAATTAACAGGCATCTTTCTTATATTTGCAATTTTATTGAAATTAAAAAAAAAAAAAAAAAAAAAAAGAGGAATTTTTCTGTTAACTTAAAAGAAGGACAGCCAAAATCAGTGGAAGAGCCATTGGATGAGGTTCTGTTAAAATTATTACCAACCTTTCATTCATTACAGTCATGATCTTATAGGGTTTTAAGGAAAGTTTCTTGCCACCGCAAATATTGCCTGCACAAACTGTTCATGCTGGCATGTTAAATCATATTTTGTCAAATGATTTTTGGCATTTGAGAGAAAGACTTGCTTTAGAACAATAAGGTTGTGAAAAAAAAAAAAAAAAAAAAAAAAAAAAAAAAAAAAAAAAAAACAAAAAAAAAAAAAAAAAAAAAAAAAAAAAAAAAAAAAAAAAAAAAAAAAAAAAAAAAAACAAAAAAAAAAAAAAAAAAAAAAAAAAAAAAAAAAAAAAAAAAAAAAAAAAAAAAAAAAAAAAAAAAAACATTATCATTAAATACACGGTGTCTGAAATGGAGCCATCATGCTACTAGATTAGAACATCATTTACTATTGCAAAATGTCAGCTACAGAATGTCACCAAATCATGTATACAGCTTTAGGTACTAATGCTCTATCATATGACACAGTGAAGGTTTGGTACCAAAGAACTATGCCATTCGATGGAAAAATAAAAGTATTTTTTTAATTACGCATTACATTGAGAATAAACAGTTATGAAAAATTCTGCCACTTTTAAGGCAGGAATTATCGAAACTAACTTATAGAAAATAAGTTCGCATGAAGTTTCAGTATAAAAAAAACATATTCTAACATTTAACCCCTCACTTTTTCCCCCTTTAAAATTATGGGCTGAGATTTGCTTTCTGTTCCTATGCCTAAACTTTAAAGAAATATGAAGTCGGAAAATCCAAAATTAATCTTACACATCATCAGCATTAAAATTTAAACAATTTTTACATCATAGCACGAAATCTAGAGAGTAGCACTAGTTTGCATGGTTTTAATTCCATATTTTATGTAGAAGCTTGATTAGTGCTAAATTTCTTCAATAAAAAGAGTGCATACTAAGAAGGTTTTCATGAAAATTTAAGCAAATCTTAAAGAGGTTAAAAGCTATTTCAACAAATTTTTATTGAAACTATCCATTATTGTAAGTATATAGATATGAATGTATCTTCATTTGCTCAAATGTTGTGGAATAATTTCACCCAGTACTTAGCAACCTGATGGAATAATACTTGAGTAACTATGAGTTTTATACATCAGATATATTAAAGTTCATTACTAACAGCACTTTGTATATTTCATCCCATTATGAACTTAAATCTTAATGAAACTTGCTACATATAAAGCAATAAAAGATTTGACACTTGTTCTAAAGAAATAATTCATATAATACAAGGAATACTTGTTATATTTAAATCTTATTACTTTTTAATCTACTTCCAATATGTCTCAGAAAAGAATATACTCAATAACTGTCATTATCAAAAGTACAAACCAATGACTAATCTTAGGGGATAATTCCAGCACCTCAAGAAACACATCTAATATACCAAAAAAAAAAAAAAAAAAAAAAAAAAAAAAAAAAAAAAAAAGCTTTTTTTAAAACATTTTCATATAATGCCTGAATGGATTAGTATGAATATATTAGATTTTTTATTTCTCTCAAACCAATGGAACAATAATTTTATTCATACAGAAACTATTTTTTTTTAAAGCAACTTTTATTTGTATATTCTATTTATTTTTTATTTATTATTAAATTTTTTTTTCTTTTTTTTTTTTTCTTTTTTTTTTTTTTAAATTCGTTTACTGCTTTACACTTAGTTTTCAAATGACTGAGAAATTTTGAAGAAAAAATAACAAAATGGCAGCATATATAAGTGTTCGCCATAAGTCAATATGCATAGTTACAAATAAAAAATTATATTATTCCATGATATTATTCATCATTTGATTTCTAATGCAACATGATCATAAATATAGTCAATTGAGAAATATAGTTAAATCAGATAGATATATAGTCAACTGATATCACTTCTGAATGGAACTTACTTGAACTATCTGAGATTTTGAAGGTTCAATCCAAACGTCTGGTTGCTCTTTTCTGCCTCCTCCAATCACAAGACAGGAGGGCGATTTCTTTGGATTATATGCTTCCCAGTGTTGACCAAGTTTACCAGATAGTTCATACAGTTCTTTTAAAGAATATCCAGATCCAACTTTACAAAAAGAATGGAAGCATTTTGGTTCATCTCCTAGAAATTGACATATTTGACACAGATCAATGCAGCATGAAAACACATTCAATTGCAATACTAATACACACAATTCATGGTCAAGTTTTCTTGAAAATAAAAAATAAATTTAACAGAAATATTTAAAATATCTGTGGCATTAAATCAGGAAAAGATTAATATTTTATTCTATTTCAATGCTTTAATTTTCTCTTTTTTTTTAATTTATAGGAGAGTTTTTAGCCATATGTTGATAGTTCGTTATTAAAAATATTAAGTATGTTTTTATAACATCACTTTTTCATGTCATATTCAATTATTTTAATAGTTCATTTCTTTCAGTTATGAAAAATAAAAAAGAACAAAGAATTATTAAAAATTTTGGTACATTTTTTTAGCATCACTTTTTCATGTCATATTCATTTTTTAATAATTAATTTCTTTCAGTTACGAAAATGTAAAACTTATATTCACTTATGAAAGTAGACAATTTTTATATACTTATAATTATATTTCATACTGCACATAAAAATAGTAAGTTTATAAGTATTACACATGTTTTTGAACTTATATAAATAATATTTTGTAACCTGATAATTTAGAAAAGAAAAAATGTTTGCTTTATATTTATCACCTAATATTTTCATAATGTTACATCAACATAATTAATGCAAAGTGCTTGTGGATGAAATAATAAATAATTGATGTCACATAATTATTTATTATTTGAACATAATGTTCAAAATAAAATAGAGATTTATACTGAAAAAGGAAAATAAAGGTTATTTTAAAGAGATATTTATTAAACAGGACATGCAATTTAAAAAGATAATGGAATTCAAGTAAACAATAACAATGGGAGAAAAATAATTTTAAATTCAAAATTTCCTTCTAAAATTATTCTTCTCCCCATTTTATACCTTTTCAATTTTAAAAATCAAAGACATATTCATTTGTTGGGATCTGTTCAAATTAATTTCTGAACTCCTTTTCATCTTTCTCTAAAATTTAAAGAAACAAAATACATGAAGTCCTTCTTCTTCCATGTATTAACATTTAATTTTATATTTGGGGGTATGTTTATAACAAGCAGCTAGTGAAGAAATTCACTTTTAAATGCACAGTCCATATATGCAAATTGAATGCATATGCTAGAAATATAAAAATTTAAATCCTGGTTTCTTACCATTACTGTCAGGAACTGCAACACCCAATAAAAAGTGAGATATGTAACTTGATCTACGACCTTCTCCAAAATATCCACCAATTATAAGAAGATCAAGTTCATCCATTAAATTATCAATATAATCAGGTTTTACTTTCAGCCAACCACCTCCTTTACGCATGTTTGGTTTGTAGATAGATTCTGGATTCTTAATAACAATACCTTCTAATCTATTATCTATTGCACTGTTTAGTTCATCAACAACTTCAGCACTATAAAGAAAATAAATTTACTATTTTAAGCACAGCATTTTGAATTATCAGAAACATATATTGTAAAAAAAATATTTAAAGTTTTTACATTTTGGGAGATATGAAGAATTATTTTGCTTTGTTAATGAAATAATTCAAAATAACAATATGCATACCGACTTTATATCAATGCCAATGATATAAATGATATTTTTTAAATGCAGTTTTAACTTTTTTTTTTACTCTAGGTAATCAGTTCTACGAATATCCTGAACTGTTTGAAACAAGACTAACTGAAAAACTAAATATACATAAAAAATAATAAGTAATTTCGAATTTTTTTCTTATTTTTCAATAAATTAAATGTGACTTCATATTTATTTCAAAATCCAAATATTTCCATTAGAAATAATTTTTAAAAAATGTATGTTTTTCATAATTAATTTTTTATTCTCTAACAACTGTAATACTGATGTCTGCATATTTTTTTTAGTTGGCCTTTTTTATTTGTACATTTTACTGTAGCAATGAATTCCATTTATTGTTCAGTAAATTGTAAGGTTAAGTTGAATATCCTTTTCAACAACTGCATGAAATACGCATAACATTCAGGAATTTGAGTAAAGTCATCCTTGACTTTTCATCTGTGTTAGTAAGTGTCTCGTTTTCTAGTTAATCAGTTCACTCCAATGATCTCAATTGTGTCAATGGTATCTAATCCACTGAAACCAAGTTGCTGTCTAGTTTCCTTTATGTTACTAATGACTTCAGTATAATAAGTTTCAAAAACAGTGAAATTGCAAAGTGTGGTATAATATGTTCTATAAAACCACACACACAATACATATATACTTGACTGTATAAAGGAAAAAAATTAATAATTAATGCATTAAAGATAATTTTGTGGTATAGTTTTTTAGAATTTATTATTATTTAGCTTTAGTTTGTTTTGAAATTTTCAAACAGGGCTGTCTCAAGTTGGACTACATGAGGTATTACTATACTTATACTGTATTAAAGGAAATTAAATTTTATACTTTGATTTTTTGGGGAGAAGGATGTAGATTTTTTACAACTAATCATTTTTATTACTATAGGATCTCATAAATGTAATTCCTACAACAGAATTCCATTTATCTGAATTGACGTGGGTGAAGTCATTTTAGATAGTACTTTCTGTAGAAACAAAAAAAAAAAAAAAAGGGGGGGGAATTATTTTCAGTAGGTAAAGGTCAAAATAAACATACAAACTAAGTCAATGTTTAATAAAATATGTAAAGGTTATTTGCAAAGAATAGAGATACTTTCACGGAGGATTTTCTAAGAGTGGCTTGCATTTGTTACACATGAGAAAATCACAGAAACACACATGCAGACAACCCACCTTTCAGTATTCAAACTTAGGTGAAACTACCAGTGTTCATCCATCAGGCTGCTAACGGACTAAACTATATAATGGTGTTAGATAATTACAATGTTATTATATATTCATATTAAGATGCATTTGCATATCTATTGAAACCTTCATAAGATGACCACCAATTGTTCTAGATGATTTTAGTCTTTTTTGGAGATAGCCTCCTTAGACAACATGACTAACACTGATGTTCAATACTGATTTTTGTTTTCAGAAATACTTGCTTTTTTCAGGGAAAATAATCCACAGAAGGTAGTAAAAATAATGGATTTTACCATATGTATTATTTAAATTAATTTGATCATTTGAATTTTTATTCTAATGCTCATCAGCTGCTACATTGCGATATTACCTGATAAACAGTTTCTTTTGTTCTGGTGTAAATGTCAGGGCAATTGTTTGAACAATAGATTTAGGGAAATCGTTAATTTTAGAACTCACAACAGTTATTTTAATTAAATAACTGCAGTATCAATTCATTTAGTAATTTTGCAGCAAAATATTATAAAGAAATTTTGCTGCAGTTTATTCCATTGCATGCTAAATGGACAAGTACATATTTAAAATTGAATTTAAAACAAGGAATAGGATTTGTCACTGATAACTGATGGAAATTAGAATACAGCAAACAAAATACATATGAAAACGATACTATTGTTATTAAAACTAAACAACTGCTTTGTGCATGCTCTTTTGAAAACTTAGTGACTTCTACTAAGGTTTTTATACTAATAAGTAAGTAATAAAAAGCCTGAAATATAATCTAAATCCTTGTTTGATTACTATATTTTTCAAGGGTTTCATATGTTATGTAATTAAAAAAAAAGAGAGAGAGAGAAAGATTTTCAGATTTTTGTATTACGCTCAAAGAGGCATTTTTAGCTCAAGGGGGCAATCTGCCCAGAAGGGCTATTAACTTTGTTTTGGCATTTTGTATTGGTTTACTATAAACAGTGTTTCACTTGTAGAGACATTAGGTATTTTTTGGAAGCAGGCAAGATGAAAAATTAGCAATGCCTTCACCGGGAATCACGCCGCCACGCTGAGCGTACAGACCACTACAATCATGAAGGCTTGCTAAGAAGGCAGGGGAAATACCTTATACACTTTTTAAATTGTTGCCACAAAATATTATCACCCTGCATTATATTCTAAGAAATTAAATAATGTGGAATCTGCATGAAATATGTATGTTTTTCAAACTGTGAAAAAACAATGGGACCTAGAGACATCAAATTTTGAATAATGTAGTCCTTCACTCAAATATGATCATCTGGAAGCCTAAATTTGGAATTTGTTTTATTACCTATTTCATATTTTGTAAAACTTTTTGATTAACAAACTCAACATTTTCAAAGCGAGCAATGGCAAAACTGTACAGAAAAAAAAAAAAAAAAAAAAAAAAAAAAAATTTATCTCCAGCGCACGAGACTGTGTATTGAAAATTCTAAAGATACGCTCTTTTTAAAGCATTTTAGGATGCTGCTGTTGAATGGAATTTTATGGTTTAAGTGCAAAGAACATGATATTTAATAAATAAAGGTAACACACAAAATGTTAAAAAGCATCTGAGAAACTATTCATATATATTTCAATCAATAAAACGTTGTTTTTTCATTATCAGTTGAAGCATTAAATATGTGCTTACTTTAAGATAATACAGCATTACTGATATAAATGTTACCATTATTTAACATTATAGGAAGAAAAAAAAAAAAAAAGAGTAAAATGTTACAGTCCACACATACTTTTTTGAGAAAATTTTCTGCTCTGTGTAACGTATCTTATTTTCAATAGGAGTAAATGTATCTTTTATATAGATTACTCTATCAGTCAAAGGAAGATTGCTGAGCACTTTCCCATTGACCATTAAAATATCAAAGACACAAAAGCAAGGACCATAATCTCCATCTGGCTGCATAGCTTGAATTTCTGCATTTTCTCCTTTAGAAACTAAAATTAGATAACAATTATAATTAAAATTAGTTAAAGGCAATTCAGATAACATACATGAATGAATGACATAAATAATTTTGATTATGTTAAAATGAGCTCAAAGTTTATGTTTCATATAGTCTAAAATTACAGTGGGTGTGGGGGGTAAAATAACACAGTTAATGATAGCCATGAAAAAACAGTTATATAGAATTTTAATATATTAGAATAGGAATGACACAGAAAACAATTTTCAATAAATTTAATATTGGGTTCAAGCAAATATTCTGCTCCTTTCTTAATTGGGAGGGGGGGGAACAGGACTGAGAACCCAAAAAAGTAAAGTAGCCATAACTTCATATAATTTATATAATAAATGACCCTTTGCCATCTGTCTCATAGCAGGCTTATCTTACACTGATAAAACTCCTCAATATTTGAGTCAAAAAATATCTTTAGATGCTCTTTTCATATCCTTCTCATTGCTGAAAATTTGAAGATGATGTTTTGTAATGTTCTAATAGTAATTTGCAAGAGTAAGGTCAGGGGAATAACACAGACAGGGGAATACTTCCAGTAGTTTTAAACAGTATTCATAAGTTCTATATGATAAATGCCACAATATATTGTTTCATTGAAGATAAATGAAAAAAAAATCGTATAATAGACCAAATTTAAAAAATATACACGATTTTTTATAGAAATGTCAATATCAAAATATTTCTTATATGTTTCTGTCTTCATACAAAACAAATTACAATTATATGATACAGGTTTTAACGTAATTTTAAGTAATATAATATGACTCACCAATGCAATTCAGTTTGCTACTGTAAATTACAATTTCCCCATCTAATATACAACTAGTGATATGAGGTTTGAAGCATTTACTAATGTAAGGAGTTAAAGTCCCAACTGAAGGTGAATTTCCATATGTGTCTGTACAGTCATGGCCTCTGAAACAAATATTTAATAATTAAATACCCCATAACCTCATAATTTTTTTGATTATAACTGCATAATAAACAGTTACAGAATAATGAGTTACTTATTTATTTTACAATATTTACATTCTGATTTCCTTGTCTTGTAATATATTGCATGTGTGTAAGTATGCATGTAAAACACACACACATAATGGTGGCATTTAAATACATTTTTTTGTGAAGGGCACTAGTCATTTTAGGCTTTGGCCACTACTAAGGCCAGAAGCAGAACTCATTTTATTGTGAAGACACCTAATAGGCTGCCACCATTTCCTCCTATGAAGGAACAGACAATTTACATCCATGCCTTCTCTGAAATTCGAACCCTGACAATTTGGTATGGCAGTCATAGTCACTAACCACTTTCGCACCTGGAAAGCACAATTAAATAATAGGCTTTTAAAAAGTAATTATACAATTCTATAATTTATTATCATAATAATATTTTCTCTTAAAAACATTAAACTATCTGAAACAGTTGAACACTTATTATTTGAAACGTTTATCCTTAAATGCATGTAGTTGCCATATGGCAGCATACTCATATTTAGTCAGGTAAATCAAATCAAAACACAAATTTTAGCTTAATGTATAGTGTAACCAACTGAATACATACTGTTTACAAATATAATTTTTAAAGTTTCAGCGTAAAACTAAATACTAACGGTCATTACTGTGAGTTGATGTGCAGTGGTGTGGACATCATTTGTGTTTACGAATTTCCGATTTTGTGTTTGTTCTTACTTCGATGTATTCAAAATTTTGAAATTGTTTGAACAAGTTTATAAGGTATGTATTACTACATAAAATTGCTATTACATGTTTGCCTATTATATTTTTTTGCATAATGCAGCCATTTGGCAACAATAATATTTTTTTAAAAATTGGAATAAAAACTTAGTTTAGATATTTTTTAGTATTTTTCCTATTTTATTTGATACCAAGTCTAATGTATTTTTGACTTAAATTAAAAAAATAAAAGGTACAACTCTGATATACGCCCTAATTTCACCAAATGTGGCGATATGTGTTCTGCGCTGGTTTTTGGCACGATTGCGTGTTCTATGGCAACCCTGTTGACGTTGAAAAATCTTTCGCTGGAGCTCTTCATTCGCGTCTGCATCTGAGAAGATGGGAGGGAAAGATAAAATGGTAGAAGTTGTTGAATTGAAGTTTGGCAAAAGGAAATATCATTGTGGCCATTTTGTTGAGGAGTAGTGGGTATTTGGAGGTGTGGAAAGAGGGTCTGGGAGATTATTTTTAATGGCTGTGCATGATAGAAGTAAGGATTTGTGATTTTATTTATTTGTGAACCATAGTATGAATTTCTGAAGTGTGTCTGGCTCTGTCATGTAAATACGATAGTGATTACGTGGCGGCATGTTAAAGGCGGTATGAAATTGGTATTTCTGCTGCTCGAAAAAGCATATTAATTCATGGTAAGTGCATTTTATTTATTCTTGTTCTTATTTTGTAGAATGTTATGTTCGTTGGTTCTTTAGTATGAATTTCTGTCGTTACTGTTGTTTTTAAACAGAACGCTGTGTACATGGTTATTAATTTGAAATTATTGTTATTATGTTATTTTAGTATAGCGAGGTGTGCGTAGATCGTAGATTCGTTTTTGCCTAAATTGTGCAATTCGTAGATTTTTTTAAGTTGAAACAGAATGCTGTGTACATGGTATTGTTTGAAATTTATTTGTTGTTATCTTAATTTATTAAAGCGAGGTGTGCGTAGTTTGTAGATTCGTTTGCTGCCTAGATTGTGCAATCCTCAGATTTTTTTTTAAGTTTAAACAGGATGGTGTATACATGGTATTCTTTGAAATTTATTGTTGTTATGTTAACAGGGTTGCCACTCAAACAGGAGAATGAAATTCCCTGACTTTTCCAGGTTTTCCAGGTATGTTTCGAGAGAATTCCAGTCTATTCGTGTAATGTACGTTGGCTGTGCTAAGAGGTAAATTAATTATGGTATTACTTGTACGGTGTAGCAAATTCACTTAATTATTCAATAAATCCCAGAGGACATTTATTCTTAATTATTCTTGGTACACTTTGTTTGATAATTTTGTTTACTTTTCCGCTTAAAAAACTTAATAAAATTTATAATATATACATTGGATAACAACTGTACGTTTTATTTAATTATTACTCATGATCATCCCCAGTTCAACAAGAGGCTAATCCGGTTAGTTTACGTTACAACGTAATGCTAAAAGTTAGGTTAGATTTTAGGTAAATTTAATTTGTGTGAGGTGTATTCTTAAAAGGCACCTTAACACTTGAAAACACAAATATAATTATAATAGGAGTTGTTTTCTCCACTGAAGATTGAGATTAGAATCTGCCTAATCTGGAATAAAATAAGACTTTTTTTGCAGACATTCTGCAGCTAAACGAAAGAAAGAAATCTATTTAATGATATTTTTTTACAAAATTGAGGTATTTTATATTTATTTCGCAGCATACATAAGGAAAAATATGTGCATTAAATTTTGTGATATCATTACATTGCTAGAATTAATTTCAGGATTATGCCAGAGAAAATTTCCTGAAATTTGGAAATATTATTTACTAATGATAAATAAATTTAGAGGGAAGAAGCAACATTAAATGATATGAATAACATAAAAATAAAGATAATTACTTAAAAATTTAATTAGAATAATCAACGATATTTTAGCGAATATAGTTATATTACATGGTTATCCTATATGATTGGTTACTATTTTTTTATTTTACTGCAAAATGACAAGGTATTTATTAAAAAGAAAAAAAAAAAAAAAAAGATTTTGCAGTAAAATCCTAGTATACGATACGGCCTTCGCACGATTTTGAAATTGTCGCCAAGAACAAAATGACCCGTTTACTGCTCATCATCATGTCGCCAAATCCCGCTGTACCATACATGGAGATTATTCTAACCAATGAACGTCTATGTAAAAAGCGGAGGAAAAATTTGCCAAGGGATTTGGCGATGGAACCTGGCGGCCAGAATTTCCCTCTCCGCGATGTTTTCAGTGAAATTGAGAAACACGTGTTAAGAAGAAATGTCCTTTGACAAAAAAGAAAACTACGAAAATCCGTTTTTAAATTATTTCTAAAAATCCAAGAAGAATCGTTTTATCAAAGAACGTTTTTTCTTGGATTTTTCACAATAATTTTAAAAATGGATTTTCGTAGATTCCCCCCCTCAAATAACTAATTCATGAATTAATTTACTTGCGCCAAAAAATATTTTCTTTTCTTTTAGAGTATAAAGAAATTTTAAACGATATTCTTTTTATGAACTCTTGATAACGTGACCTTTGAACTTCCGACACCGGTTTCGAGCTTTGGCGACAGATTTATTGCGCATGCACAGCTGTTTCCCGCTATGATGGAACGGAGCCACGTCTGTTGCAGAGAGGTTTTCCTTCTTTAAAATACATATTTTTTTATTCTAACCTTCATGGTACCGTATACTAGGATTAAACCCATTTTGTTTTATACCAGAACAGGTACTTTCTTTAGTTCATGCACTGCACATAAGATTCTCGAGGTTACTGGAAACCAAAAGTAGCGGCAAACTTGCTTTGCCTTTCTAAGAAGACAATCAAATTGGAGCTGCGAAAATTGGCTCTATGCCATCTGCCCGAATGACACTCACGTGATACACAATTCGCCAAAAAAGTGATCTCTTCCGACGTCGGCGCAAAACTCGCCTTTTTTGGCGGGGTCGTTGTATGAAATTCCCCGACTTTTCCAGATTTTGACTGAAACACTTAAATTCCCTGACTTTTCCCTGAAATTTTTGGTCAATTTCCGAATTCCCTGACTTTTTCCGGTTTTCCAGGTAGCGTGGCAACCCTGTGTTAATTTATTAAAGCGAGGTGTGCGTAGTTCATAGATTCGTTCGTTGCCTACATTGTGCCATTCATAGATGTTTTTTTAAGTTAAAACATGTCGCTGTGTACATGGATTCTTGTCAAATATTTTTGGTAAAACTTTACGTTTTTGCTATCTAAATTTTTGGTTTTTGTTTCGGATTTTTAGCTTAAATCATGTGTTCAAAACGTAGTTTTTGGAGATATTTTAGGATTAAAGTTCAAAATGCAGACAAAAAATTTAGATAGTAATATGGCAGCGTGAAGTTTGTCGCCAAAAATGTTTGGCGACTTGAGGGCGCATATCAGAGTAGTTCCAAATAAAATAAAAAAATCACGCATTTAAAGGTTAATAAGGATGTCAGACTTATCTAACTGTACATAAAACTGTCTTTAATATGAAGAATAATCTCAAAATTTAGTAGTATTGGCATAAGAGAATCATTAATTTCCCAACATATGTAATTCATTGATTATTCTATTGAATTCAGTTTCCATAAAATATATTTAGAAACATTCAAAATATTTAATACATCAATAATATAGCTATATACATGCACTAACCCTCTGGAGAAATACATGTATGTATCACCATCTTTGTGAAGTTGTAATCGCTCCCCATCATATTTTGTTTCAACAATAAATGATTTATTCTGCATCAGTTCCTCTACCTAAAAATATGTATTTATAAAGCTAAATAATATAACATATGTTTAAAGAATATAAATTGATTAGAATGTGACAAATAATGAAAACTAAGTTTTACACAGAATATGATTTAGTAGAACCTGCAGTAAACAAATGCAGACACTTGTGGTAAAATTTAAATTTATTTCGTTGGTTGCTCCAAATAAATTATACAGTAAATTCAATCCTTTTCAATCACAAAATGAACATATAGACAAGCAACGATAGTTTGACAAATGTGATTGCAGCCATATAATCTGATAAACATATTAAAATATATATATGTGTATTTTATAAAGTGATTCAAACTATTTGATTAAAAATAACTACATTTGATGTAGTCTACTTTTAGAATACACAATGCACTGCTTAATATTATACATGAAACACACTTGTGACTCTAAAAAAATATCCAAAGCAATTACCAGATCACAGGGTGTGCCATGAAACAACAACAGTGTTTTATTAAAACATTTAGAATTATGAATTACATATTCAATTAACATCTTAGCTAACATTTTGATGATCAGGATTGAAAATCTGTACTCTTACAGAATAACAATAAAAACTAGCACATTTCTAAAGCAGCATAATAATAGAAATATTAGAACTATCTATTCTTCTCTTCATATTTTCAAAGAATTTATTCTTTGAATACTGCATCTTGTTGCTAAGAGGGGGACATGTAGCACAGTTGAACTACCCATGTTCCTACCTTTATATGAACTTGATTACTTAGGAAGTACCAAAAAAAATTACTCTTCACAGTTTTAATTTCAGTGTCTTATTTAAGATAAATCCATTTTAGGGAGCCACTGTTAGCCATTCTCCAGCAAGAAATCTTACTTTCATATGCATTTTGAACATCACATGCAATGAGGCATTTTGGAAACATGACTTTCCGAATAGTGAATATTTTTTTTCTGATATTTTACCTTAGCATTATTTTTATAACTATTATAGCATAATAATAGTTTAGTAAAACAAAAAATAGTGAGAGAAAGAGAAAATAAATAAATAAATAAAAATACAGAATGTTAAGAAAATATGAAGTAACAGTACCATGAAAGAAATTGTTCTTTCACTTAAATAAAAGCAGATGTGCCAAAGGGCTCAATAAATGGCAGGTGAGAGTAAAAGTAAATAAACAAAAATACTAAATGCAAATTTATATTATCCATGTTAAGTATGATTTCTTGATTTAGAACCTAGTCAAATTTAACACATTATGAATATAAATTTGAATTAAAAGATATAGCATCAAACTCACCACCTTTGCCTACTTAAAAGATACACTGAAACTTTTTTATAAGCAACATATACATATATAGACATAAAAGAGCAAATGAGAAAAATAAAAATTGCTTGGTTAAACCTTTTTCATTAAGGAAACAGAAATAACTTTAAAAGTTCATTTGCAAAAGCAGGGTCTAATTTTGAAAGGAACGGAATGATTTGGTAGAAAAAAATTTAAGTATGATTAAATCAAAATAAAACCAGCCAAGGATTTTATCATACACATTTTACATTCATAAATCACAAATTTCTCTATAGGACTATCAACATATTAAAAAGTGCTCACTTGATTTGGCAGTGCTATTTCAGCTAACATTGGTCGGAATGGAGAGAAGAGGCTAATTTCTATTTCATGAAGTCGTACAGAAGGATCTCTTAGACTAGTACATACCTGTAAAACACCAGTACTATAACACAGGTTTAAACAGCACATCATAGTTAAAATCTAAAATGTTAGCAGAAAAAAAGTTGTAAATTATTACTTAGCAGTACTCAATTTTAATAATTTTTAAAAAGCAAAATAGATATCTAAAACATACAGTTTCATAGTTCCTATGTATTTGAGTTTGGCTGTTATAGGATGTTAAATTACTTCCTACAGAACAAATGCATGAAGTGATACCATCTGGCCAGCACAGTTGAAGCATTTTTTAACTTTTGAGTGTGATGTTGCATTTTGAGTAAAAAAGACTGTGTTTTTTTTTTTTTTTTTTTTTAAATTAGAAACAAATTCCTCTCACATAACAAGCTCTTACTTGCCAGATTACTCAATGCTTTGAACCTTCTCTTTCTCCAAGATGGTTCATTCAATGGTTTTCCATCAAGATGGTTCTATGAAGTCAATTTTCTCAGACTATTTAAGCTAATCGAAATGATGTGACAACTGGTCTAAGAAATATACCAAAAAAAGCATTCCACCAAGGCCTCCAGGAAAGTCTGGAATTCTGGACCAAGTGTAGATATTCCAATGGATACCTACACTGGACTGAAGATAATTAGGTAATATTTTTTTACATTTTGAATAGAACTATCCTACAAACAGTTTCTGTAAATGTTTGGAATATAAGACTGAAATATAAAATAAATTTAAAACAGCAAACAGTACAGTACAGAGTCAGAAATCCAGTTTTCCAATATCTAGTCTTCCAGAACACTAGAAAATTTTTTTTTTACATACTCTAGGAAAAGGTAATATACATTAAAGAAAAAAATAAATAAAAATTAGAATGCTTTCAGATTTTACATTATGTCCAAAGGGGCATTACTTTAACATTTTGTGTGTTACATTTACTTATTAAATACCGTGTTCTTCACACTTAAACCATAAAACTCAGTTCAACAGCAATATCAAAAACAATTTTAAAATGAGCATGTCTTTAGAATTTCCGATACACAGTCATGCGCACTGGAGATAATTTTTTTCCCCCGTACAGTGTTCTCCTTCCTTGCTTTGAAACCATCGAGTTTGTTAATCAAAAATTAAAATGTTTGACAAAATATGAAATAGATAATAAAACAAATTCCAAATTTGGGCTTCGAGATGCCCATATTCGGGTGGAAACGTACGTTATTCAAAATTTGATGGCTGTAGGTACTGTTGTTTTATCACAATGCAAGAAACATACATATATTTATGCAAATTCTTGATTACAGTAGAACTCCAGTTATCCGAATCAATTGGGACCGGACTTCATTTCGATAATCAAAAATTTGGATAATTGGATTTTTCCTTAAGAAAGGGTCTACGTACACTTTAATTAATTACTGTATATACTGTATGTTGGAAATGGGAAAAAAAACTACTACAGTCAAAAGTCGTTAATCCGGACTCGTCGGGACTTCGGCGATTCCGGATTATAGATCATCAGTTTAAATCTCGTAAGATGGCATGCAGAAATTCTAAAATTAAAAATATGAAACCGTAATTTATGAAATAAAGAACAATTATGATCTAAAGGGTATCAAAATTTACAAAAAAAAAAAAAAAAGCTTAATATTTATTTGTTTACTTTATTAAACATTTCTTTCAATGTAAGTTGTTTAAGTTGCTTCGTTTTATGTGATAATACTTTCTCTTTAATTCTATAAACAGACATAATTTCTTGTTCAGTTACAAAGTTCCGCTGTTCAAGTCCCGTTAATTGCTGTGCCGAGAATACCGACTAACTTGTCAATCGAAATTTTTTCGTTTTCACTAACCTCTCTGTCACATTCTTCATGTCTTTATCCATTTTTTGGAGCAATTCCACTTTTTATTTGTTGGACATCGAAACATACTTTCGTTTTGTAGATCCTTTGGAAGTTCCAGCATCGGAAATTCTATTTGACATAATCGAAATTTCAAGTTTACTTTTATAAAATTGCTCTTACAGTCTGCAAAAAATAATAAGCGGGATCCAATTCGAAGATTAAGGAACAACGCAATCATTAAAATTAATTGAAATAGATAATTAGATAATTTTAGCTTACACGGTCCGTTATACATTAAACGCGCAGGCGAAAACGTATTCTGCACTTGCGCACATGCATATGCGCAGTAGTCAAGGTCTTTCACGCACGCATAAAACGCCTGTGTGCATGTGCTAACGCGGCACATGTGCAGAAAGTTTTTAGCTTTGAGGTCCGGATTATAGATCATTCCGGATTATGGGTGTCCAAATTAATGACTTTTGACTGTATTACAGAAAAAAAGATTTTAATTAATTAAAATGAAAAGGCAACACTTTTACATACGTGTTATATAGCATACTGTAAAGTAGTTACTAGTGCTGAAAGTCATTGCTTGCTAAACATCTGGGTGAAAGTAAGCTGTTTGACTGTCTTCACCTATTTTTGGGCAGCCAAGTTGCGCACCGCTTGAGATTAAGTCATCATCTTCCTCGACACTTTCTCCTCTCACACTTTCAATGAATTTATCATCATTTACAATTTGAAACCCAGGGTCTGACAAATCACACACCATTTGCTCCTTTTAATGTCTGAAATCATTGATTGTCCAATATTGTACATCTCGGCCAACTGTTTACCAGTAATTTTTTTATCTGATTGCTCAATAATTTTTAGTTTATCTGCTAATGATAAAACAACACGTTTTCTTTTAGAAGCCATGGTGAACATTGAAACGTTTCCGTCTTAATTTTTTTCTTAAATTCTGAAAGCGATTTGGATAGTCGGAGTTCAGATAATTGGAGCTGTACTGTATTTAATTTCTTTAAATATAACACAGGGCTGTAATATGTGGTGGCGAAAATTTTAAAAGTGAATCAACGTTTGTAGTAAATCGCCAAAGCAAAATCAACAGTCCTTCTGGGCAAATTGCCCCTTTAGACCAAAATAAGGAAGCATGTGCTAAAAGCATTTTTCTCCATACTATATGAGATTCTTGTATTCTACCTTAATAACACATTGATTGATGGGTCTTTCTATTAAAACTGGCATTAAGCTGCTAAATCCTTAGGAGCTCTTTTCATTTGTCTCAGCTGATCCCATGAAGAGGCTTGATGAGTTCACAATTCTTCAGTTAGTGTCATAAAAGAATGTGAAAAAGAAAACCAGAGGCACATTTATCACTGCATTGTAAAAAAGTGATCTGGTCAGTCTAGGAGTACGATTCTGCAAAGGGAAGCAGGCATCCAGGTTTTGGCATGGTATCTAGAGAAAGTGCTGGGCATATGATTTCCAGAAGTAACCAGAAGGATGTAACTTGGATTACTGCAGCAAAAAATTGAGCAAAATACATGAGGCAATTAGGTGATGAGTCCAATTTTGTATGTCCAATATTTAAATAATTACTCATTTACATTAAACACATGTAAATTCATCAGATGACACTACTTATTTAGTAGCTTTGCATTTCACCTTCCCTAAGTAACTATAGTTGAGATTAGCCGCGACTAAAATTCCACCAATGAGTGGTTGTGGAGGCAGCAAGGAATGTTTGCGAAGTGTCAAGATATATTTATTTGAAGTGGAGTGTTGCACACATAGATTTTCTTTTACTGGAATAGTAGCAGGGATGAGGAAGAGAGCTGCATTCTGAAGGGACTTCAAATCAACAGAGAAAACTGCACTCTTTCTTAGTTTTCTCACTTTATCCAGCTTTATTTAACGAAATACTTTGTAAGGTTTATCTTAAGTTTTCAACAGTCATCTTTCGTTAAAGCTACTTTCCTATCCCTTCTAATTTCAGCTTACAAATTTCCTACCTGAGTGTGTTTTTAGAATCGTGGTTCAGTGCAAATGAAGGAAGAGCAGTACTCAAGTCAAAATTCCACCAATTTCATTAGAGAGCCAGAGATTCTGACTAGCGAGTGTTCGCCTTTTGGCTACACCCTCTCTAAACTATTACTATGCTCAGCCGTATTTTCAGGCTCTTGTTAGCTTTGCCGTTTAGTTAATATTAGGGGCCAACTCCAGTAGAATTTTTGATACCTTTGGCTATATCTTTTTAGCCAAGCATTAGTTAAGTTTGATTTCTAATTATTTGAGTTCAAGCCCAAATGGAGGCTTTTCTGTACATCCTGAGAAAGGGCCATCTGTTAACAAACAAAGGGTAATTAATCCAATTTTGAGCAATAAAGGGTAATTAACCCTTCTTGAGTTTACGTTTCTGTTTCCTGAGCTTAAGCGATTATTTGCTTACCAGTTCTCAAGGTTCCACAAACATAGCTGTAAATTTAGGTTGGAATCTTATAACTTTTAAATATAATTATAATAAAACGAATAATTAATGCATATATTATCATGTGGATAAATTTAATGTTGCATCACATATTGATGTAAAATAAAATTAAATAGAAATATTAATCGTTTAAATATCAGTTGATTCTTCATAAAAAATTCTAAAGATATCTATAGCAGATCAAGACAATTCAGATGAAATAGAATTTAATAAGGAAAAAAAATCAGTACCTGTGAGGGAATGGAATTTTCATAATTTAAGCTTAATATCATTTATTGTTAGAAAACATTTTCCCCAGTAAAGCCTAAAAATTAAAAACCAGGAGATCCAGTGATCAACCACAGCATCAATTTTTACACCTGGCTAAATGCAAGATGTATTAGCATTTACATAATTCAAATCTTGATTAACATTCTACCACTCACAAAAGTACTTCATAAAACACAGTTAACCCTCTCATGGGGATTACTTCTTACAAACAATTATCTCTAAACACAACCATATTTTTCAGATCATGAAGAAAAATCTCAACATAGGTAATTTATTTCATCAGATCATTTGTGACACAATATACTTTAAATTCACACAATATACTCATTAAATTCCTAAATTTAAATTTCTGGCTTGTCTGGCTGTAATCATACGTGTTAATATATAATTGCAATTTTGCAGTTTAAATTTTGAAAATCTTAGATAATTAATCTTAGATTTAAACATCTCTCAAAATTCATTAAATTTAAAAACTTGACTAAATGTTGTCGAAGATATGGTCTGTCACAAAAGAAGTTGATGGAAAGAAATAAGATATTAGTATTAATTAGAAAGTTGATATAATTTACAGAAGTAAATAATTGACAAAAGACTAAAAAAAGTAGATAGACATCACCGGGTGAATATTTTAACAAGCAGCGAGTGTTTTTTAAATTTTTAAACAAAATTTACAATTTAATAATTTATACAATTTTTCCCTTTCTTTTACACTTAAAAGTATTTTCTATATTCAAAATATTTCATTAGTTTTTGATTATATCAATCACTGCTTATCTTATGATTAATATGAAATTCTATGAATAGAACAGTTTTAATAAACTATGAAATGAAACAAAAGAAGTTAAACCAAATGTCACAAATTAACTTTAATTGTTAGTTCAAAGTGGCATTGATCCTGAAGGACTATTGTTTACGTTTTGGCATTTTGTGTTGAAATCTTTAAAAAGCTGTATCACTTTTCAAACTGTTGCCACCAAATATTATTGCCCTGTATTATATTTGAAGAAATTAAATAATGAAGAATCTGCATAAATGTATGTTTCTTGCATTGTGATAAAACAACGGTACCTAGAGCCATCAAATTTTGAATGGTGTAATCCTACTGCGAATATGGGGATCTGGAAGCCCAAATTTGGAATTTGTTTTGTTATCGATTTCATATTTTGTAAAACTTAAATGAATTTCTGATTAACAAACTCAAGGATTTCAAAGCGAGTAATGGCAACATTATACAGAAAAAACATTTTTATCTCCAGTGCGTGAGACTGTGTATCGGAAATTCTAAAGGTATGCTCACTTTAAAATTATTTTGCAATATTCCACTTGAACTGAATTTTATGGTTTAGGTGTGAAGAACATGATATTTAATAAATAAATGTAACACACAGAATGTTATAAAATGCCCCTTTGGATGTAATTTAAAATCTGAAACCTTTCACATTTTCTTTAAATCCTGCAGTTAAATGTAAAAATAACTGATAGACTAAGAATGGAAAAGTTCTTATGAATTAATAAGGAATTAAATTTACAGCAACGAAAATAAAATGAAATGGGAATAAAAATAAGGATTCCATATAGCATATGAATGTGCAATAAGAATTTGATTTAACTCGAGAATCTAAATTTTGACAGATACAAAATTTTGAAATACTCCTAAATAGTTCTAATAGTAAGTAAAAACAGAAAGGGTAAGCAAGTTAATAAATCCCCAAAAGAATTTAAATTCCATCATACGAAAAAAACGAAGAGACACACACACAAAAAAGATCACAAATACTGATATACTGGAATTTTCTTTAGAAATCTCTCCTTTCTGAGACTCTGAAAATCCTTGAATAGCAAATAGATAATCATGATTATTGGAAGTCATCTTAGAAGATGACTTTTCTGAGTAGAAGAGCAAAATCTTCAGGAACTATCAGTAATCATCTTAGAGAAGGTTTAGAATATTAACATATTACTTACTATAGCCATTAGCAATTAGAAACGACAAAATTTGATATGTATACCTTTTCTAAACTGTTAGTAACATTGTACAAATCTTTGGCATCAGGATGAAATGCATTCAAAACACTATTTTCACTTATTCCTAATTTCATATCTTTTAGTATTATTCTTATTAGCCACTTCTGTTCAATAGCAGATGTGTTTCTCAAAAGATGCAGAAGATCGCCTTTCATTTCATCTGAAAAATAAACTACTGTACTATAAACCTGAATTGACAACAAAGTAAAAGCAAAACACCAGAAATTTAAAGGCCTTACACAGAGAGAATCGAATTTTATTCGAACTAAATACAATATAAAAAAATAATGAAGATTTTAAACAAGTATAAAAACAAGTATAACAAGAAGATTTTAAACAAGTATACCTTTAGAATACTATTAAAACTGAATAATTTTTATAGACTTTGTAAAGTCGGAGTTTGCTCAGAATATCGTATTATGTCTCGAATAAGAAGATATTCTTACCAGCAAGTGTCGGAATTCGATAGAGGCAGGATTGTTTCTATCGAAAGTGTAGGTTATCGTTCTGTGATATCACCAGTCACACTGGTCGACATCCAACCACTGTGAAGCGAATATATGGCATAACTGGGTTGCTGAGGGTCATACTGAATTTCATGCAGGATCTCAATGCCCTTCCATGACTATTAACCGAGAGGGCAGACATATTGTGAAGTCAGAGCTGCAAAACCGTACAACCACATCATGGACCATTAGTCAAGAAATGGGCATGTTTGCAGCATGCCCAGTATCCGCTCGCACGGTGCATCAATGTTTGCAGCTGCACGGACACACGATCACCATTACTTTGCCTTCCCTTGACAATGTAGCATAGAGAGAGACAGTGACTCTGATATGCCGTATGACAAAGCTGGATACAGGAGTGGCACAATGTTGTCTTTTCAGATGAGTCCAGGTTCTTCGTACAGTATTCTGATGGCTGTATATGCATCTGGAGGCTCCGAGGAGACTGCACATTGCCTACTTACATTCAGTATCAGCATAGGGGCCCTTCACCTGGTATAATGGTTTAGGCAGCTATCAGGAGCACGACACACATCTCTAGTTCGGATCGACGGTACTTTGAATGCAGATAGGTACATTTCTGACATCTTACGTCCAGTGGTTGTGCCGTATCTTCGAGACCTGCCAAACACCATCTTCCAACAAGATAATGCAAGACCATTTATTGCACATCATGTTCTGACCTTCCTCGATACATGTGGTATTTGATTGCTGCCCTGGTCTGCATAGTCTCCCGTTTTATTACCACTGAAAACATCTTGTCATGGGTTGCTGAGAGACTGGCCCACCCTTCTCCAGCTAATACAGTTGATGAAGTGTGGCAGAGACTTGAAGCAGCATGGAATGAGTTGCCCGTTTCTGTCATCCAAGCCCAGCTTGACTCTGGTGCCTAACCAGGTAGGGGTCGTTTTTAGATACCAAGGGTGGCAGCTGTTTCTACTAATTTTGCACCCCTGTGAACCCCAAAACTGCTTACAAATTTAACAACTTTATGTCTTTATGTACAATTTTTTTTTTTTTTTTTTTTTGTTTTGTGTAATTGCTTTCCTTTATGGTGTTGCAATTTTAATGGCCAGCCACTGTAGGTATACCACTAAATTACATAAACTAATGCATATGGCATTATTTCAATATAAAAAGGTTAAAGTGTGAAAAATCCTTTTTTAGTACCATACAAAAGTATCCTTAGCTTATGTAACAATGGAAGACCATCACTTACAGGAAGAGATTTTTTCAACTGGTGAAACAAGATGACTGGAAAAGAAGTTCATTAAACTTTAACAACTCTTTATTCTTAAAGTTAATTATTATTGAAAATTTTTTTCTAGATTTCTTTACCATTTTGGAATAAACTCAGACTGTTCACATAGAATTTTCTTTTAGTTCATACAGTGATCAAAGGTATAAAGAATACCTAAAAGCATGTTTGTTCTTTTAAGTAGCAGTTAAAAAAATCAGAATAAATTTAATCTCTACCACATATCTAATGAGAACAATACAAAAATTGAAGACAATTTATGCTGCAAAACAGATAGAATAACAAACCTTTCATCTTGGCAGCACTATTTGATGCTATACTATCAAGATAATAATTGATGTCATGGATTGTCAAAGTTCCTTTCTCTGGACTTCTGTTTTTAAGAACAAAATAAGCAACACTTGCAAAATCACCAGCTTCCTAAAACATATGTTAAAAAATACAATTATGATAATGATAAAAATTGTATCTTGCACATATATTCTTCAGTTATTTGCTTAAACACAATAAGAACGATTTAATCCTTTGTGGTTAACAATTACTTCCGGCAGTTTTATTTTGTTCAATCACATTGGAACACAAAGGTTTATAAGATGATATAGAATTTATGAACTGTTTATCTGAAATGAACCTTTTAAGAAAAAATATTACAGATAGCTGGATTATGAGCATAAACATGCCTATGCAGTCCAGTCTCACATATTTATGAACTAAGAGCGTATGTGATAGTGGGAAGGAATTTTTTAATGCTTTTAGTTTTTAAAGAAAAGAGAACATCAGGAAGCAATCAAGATGTATGCATAACAAGTAGAAACACTGAAGAATTTTTAGATAATCTCTGAGGTATATGTTTTTCTATCCAGATACCTACTGGATAAGTGATTTTGAAAAGTAATAATAAAAAGTTTATAAAACTCTTTAAATCCCCCCCCCCTCTTTTTAAGAATTCTGTTTGACCATAGTTAGTACAACCCTAAACACAAATGAATGAAATTTAGATATGATTTATTTAAAAACTAGAGCAGATGGGTGCAATTAGCACATTTTATTTTTTTTAACATATTTAAGAAATCAGAAAGCACACACTTCATATAGTCTATGGCAGTGGTTCTCAACCTTAGATGACCTTACCTTTCGTTTAGATGGTGACTTTTCTCAATAGAAATACTTAAAAAATATATATATTTGCCATTTGCACAACCTATTGAATATTTGCATTAAATATGCACACAAAAAATATTAGATTAAAAATTGGTTGCCATTTTAATTAGCAAAATTTAAGTTATAATACTTTAATTCTAAAATTTAGTGTGAAATTTGTATGTGTTTAAGAGAGATCAATTTCATTTTATCTGGTTTTAGTTTGATTAGTTTTAACCATAAATTAGAATCCACTTTTAATTTTGTTCTGCATTTATTTTTCAAATACAACATGGAAGAAAATCCTTGTTCACAAACAGGTTGTGCAAGACGGCAATAAAAGTTTAATAGCCTTATTAAAAATGCTTTTAAATTTTTTTTTTTTTTTTTTTTTTTTTTTTTTTGGGTTCAGCCAAAAGTTAACAACTGTGTTATTTTTGAAATCTTCAGTTAGAGTTCGATCACAGGAAATTTCTGTCAACTGTTCTTTTTCTTCACGAGATTCCTGAATTTAATAGTGAAAAATATTTTGTTCTTTGTGTACCACCTATTTTTCTCTTGAGTACCACCAGTTGAGAATTGCTGGTCTATGGACATTTCCTCAGCACAAATGAAGACCGAGTAGGATTCTGTTTGTAATTCTCTTTTGTGGCATGGTCATTTGAACTTACCTACACCAGGCGGGTTGAAAACAATAACAACAACAACAAAATAACAAAAACTCAAGAGAGCAATCAAAGTAAATGTGCAACTTCAAAAACAAGATACAAAAGCTATGAGAAGATACAAAGCTTCTAGAACCATGTATGTTACCAGGTCAGCTCTCATGGATGTGTTTTTTCTAGCTCATGCTCTTACTGGAGTGGCAACAGATCATACTAGCCACAGTGACACAGCACTAGAAAAATGTATTTGATAATAGAAAAATCATGTTTTAAACTATAAAATTAGAATTCTTATATAGTAGGTCTACTATGAAATTATATCTCTTTACATGGCAAACAAACCATTAAATACTGCACTATCATCTGCCAAAGAATTGCATATGAATTTTGGATTTTAAGAGCTACTTTGTTATAGATTATTGAACAAAAGTTTTAATTTGGAACAGAAGTTAATTATGGTTCAGGCTTTGCAGTTAAGTAGAAACTAGCATTTGAGGAACTCCAAAATACTTAAAGTAATTAATTAAAATGACTGAAATATATATTTAATTCATAGAGTAAACAGCTTTTGTTTTATTATCAGTTTAAATTTTTTTTTCACATCACAATGGATCTATTTTTAGCAACAAAATTTTAGCTAATGTTCAGATGCATTTGTAACTATTTCAATGCAAATGATTCAGCTACTGATCTAGCATATCATTTAAGAAATTATGGATAAGTCTACTAACATGACTTGTAAATTCCTGTCTCATACAAGTTAATATACATATTTTCTTTATGCAACTTTAGTAAGGAAATTCAAAGCTGTGCCGTGTCAATTATTAAGAAACAGCATAAATGTGGCTGTTGTAACAGGATAGCTATTACCAGCTCTGTACATAGAAAGCTATACAGTAAAGAATAACTAATTAATATTTTTATATCTGGCAATCACAAATGCTTGATAACATGAATCAGATAAAATAATTACCATATTTACTTGCATATTTTCCCCCTTAGCTTAGACAAGGTTCTGATAATATTTTATTCTCACATAATTTTTGTCTTTCTAAAGGCATTCAGAAAGCAAGATTCCCTAAGTCTTAAAATGAATTTATTCACATAGTGATTGTTTTTGTCTTACTAATTAATTTACTCTTGAATTTTGGGTGCATGAGCTGTGACTGATGAAGCAGTTATAGAAGAACTTCAAGCAAATGGGAATATTTAATGCTCAAGATTGCACTGAAGTTCACTGTACAAGGGGAGACAGACAGTGTTAAATATTTGCATAATCGCCTGTAGTAACGGCAACCGCCATCAATAAAAGGAGGTGCTTTCCTTAGTGGCACCGCAGTTCATTTTAGTTCGAGCCAGAATAGACCTGCCCGGGGTAGAAGCCAGGGGATGATAGATTCCGGTTCCAGTCCTGTTCCGGTCCTGATCCAGTCCTATTCCAGTTCCAGTCCGGCTGTTTAAGTCCAAAACACGTAGGAGCGGAAGTCTGAATCCAGCGAATGGAGATATATGCCAAAAGGGCTAGATGGATTTTGTCCTTTAAAAGAAAGTGTTCTTCACCGTGCTGGCATAGCTGTTACTTTAAAGCACTTTGAATGTTTTCCACCTAAGATGTTAAGTTTTCGTTTATGATGTTAAGTTTACATCATTTTTGAAGTTGCAGTTGAATAAACCTTTAAGTTTTAGACAAGGTTTTTGTGTTCTTCAGAAAATTTTAGATTCGAAGTCAGATATATCACATAGGATTTAGCGGAAAAATCAACAGACAGAATGGTGATGAATACAATGACAACAGTGACGATGGCAACGATTTGCTGTAACAGTTGACACATACAGCATTAAATGACTTAAGACCTAGGGAGTAGTAATGAACAACAATAATAACAAGCAAGATTCAGGATACAGGAAGCAGAAATCAAAATATCGTATTAAATATTAGTAATACTAATATCAATATTAATATATATTCTTACTGCAATGTAGGGTTTTTTTAACAAATAATTTTGTGATAGATACTGGTAGTTTACCCATAAACATTTTTCATTTACGTTCTTACTGCATCCTTCAAAAATTAAATTATTCATATAATTTTACTCTCTCAGTTTTTGTACAGTTAGGAAACAAAGAGAGGAATACAAAAGTATTACAGTATTTTTTTTACAGCAACCACACAAATTTTAAATTTAACTACAGTACTGCAAAATTTTAAAATTAAAAACATGTTAATAAAGAAAATTTACTTACAGCATGTGCCGATTTAGGTGATCGATAATTGATAAGTTTTTTAGCGTCAACACCATTTTTGTCTAGGCAAAATATTTCAATCAACAATTTGGCTAGAGTAAACTAAAAGGAAAAAGTTTAAGAAATTCATATAAAAGTACTTTTTATTTCAGTAAACATATACTACCAAACATTCATGATACATTTGCAATATTTAGATTTGTCTAACATTAAATTTATTTTGTATTTTTTTTATATTTGGAATAAAGAATTGTGAATTTTACCATATTTTCAATCATTAGACTTATAATTGTTAAAGGTGTACATTTGCATTCAACAACATACCTATGCCATTAAATACTTATACCATTAAAGATGTGCATATGTGAGAATTTTGAATACGTCCAAATGGTTAAGGGGGACATGGCATAAGGAAAAATGTCCAGGTATAAAGTAACATAAATATTTTAGAATTATAACTGAGAACATGCCTCTTTCTGAAAGGCTTTGGAGTAAATATTTAAACATTATGATAGAATGTAATAACCTTTTAAATTCTCTACATAGGAGGTAACAGATAAAGAAATACACACTAATCATAAAACAGTATACATCTAAGTCAAATTCAGTAATAAATTTAATTGAAAAAATATTTCTGATAGTTCTGGATGCCTCTGTTACAGATCAGAAAATATTCATATGATAAAGTTAGTTACTTGGCTAATCTCCAAAGATTTTATACGAACCAGCAGTGTACCATGGCCTAGAATGGGTTATATTATTTAAGCAAAAGAAATGAGGGCTATTTGCCTAAATTCCATGCCAGTCTTGATCAAAATGTTTGTACTGACACTATTATTATATCCTTAATCATATTAAAAGTAGAATACTTTTATAATTAATAAATCTTGATTAAATAACTTATACAGTATGCTTTAATTTGCCATTTAAGTACAAACAATCCAAATTTAATATAAAAATTAGAAAGGAGAAAATATAATCCACATTTAAAAAAACATGACATGAAATTGGAAAAATTTCTTAATCCACACAACCTTAGATTCTAGGATCTGAGGACTATCAAAATTCTAATGTATAAATAAACATACTTCTTTTATGCCATATGCTGCTCTTTGCCTTTCACTCTGGGGTAAGAGGAGACGAAGTGCAGGATAAAATGAATCAGTCTGAAAATTAAAAAAAAAAAAAAAAAAAAGTTTGAAAGAAAATACCTATGTAATTAAAAAAAACTAATAAAAATACCTTTACAAAAATCCTCAGCAAGGTACATCCAATTCAAAAATTATTATTGATTATCTAACATTGCAGCCCATGTAATGAATTTGAGCAGTAAACCTGCTATGAACCAGTTATTACTAACTTTAAACTATTTTCATTTAAGATAAAATAACACACCAAACAAATGTTGATTTAAAAGTGAAACAACAAAATTCAACATTATATTTGCAAATTTTCATAGGACAAGTTTCGATGGTTTTACCAAACCATCATCCTCAGCAACCAAAGTGTAAATGGCTGCACTTTAGCAGCTGAGGATGATGGTTCGGTAAGGCCCATATCACCTGGGCATTTGCTTCACATGAACAATTGTTTTGGGCAATTTTTCTGCCTGGTTTACTATTGAAAGAAAGATGAGCTATTTTTTCCTTCCTTTTGAAAAAGATTGCAAGTTGTTCGTTTTCAACAAATCAGCTATCAGCTTCGAATGCAATCAACTTGTTTTATAATGGTGAACCAGTTTTCCCTGTGTTAACCTCAAAGCGATCTGTGGTGATTGGCTGTTTGTGACAAAGCAAAAATTGTTCCAAACAGTTGTTCTTTCAAAACAAACTGATATGTGATAGCAGTCTTAAACCATCAAAACTAGTTCTGTGAAAATTTTCAGATATAATGCTGATTTTTGTAGTCTGACTTTTAATTAATATTTTTATTTAATTCAAAAAATTTCTGCTCATGCTCTTAAATATATCTGTGAAATATTTATTATGTTTAGTCATATTTCATGCACTTCCAAATTCCCAGCACAGTAAAGAAACTATGCAAAGATTCATAACTATTCAAAACTGAAAGTTTTCAAGACTTCCAGTATATTTACATAAGGAAATTTGAAAACTACTTCAGAATTGGAGTTCAGAGCGAGTGTTTTGTTTAGAGGAGCTTCTATGAGTTACTGTTAATTTATTATGAAAGATTTTGGTGGAAATTTGTTCAAAGTCTGATGGAAACTGATAAAATATAACAGAACTAAATCTTCACAACTTGCAGAAAAATCAGAACAAGACATGCAAGTCAAAATTAATACGAGATACAAATTAGCACCCGCCTAAATAAGCCTTGGCTTGGTCTTAAGTATTTATGAAGCAAATGAAACTTGGCAAAGCTAAAGCTAATGAATCAATTCAAGAATTAAGTAGGTGTAACAAAGTAATGGTGAGCAAAAGCTGCGAAAAATAGCTCTCTCCAAAACTTAAGAACTCTGACTTATTTGCATTCTAGTGGTACTAGACGAAAGCAGACATTATAGTAATACCAAAATAATAAAGTAATGAGGTAAATAAAAATCAAACCCTATATGTATTATGCTTATCATTTAGATAAGAAAGTCGTTTCATCAGTATGAAGCAAGTATTTCATAAAAGCCATACTCCGACGACTGCATACTTGGGTCATAGAATAGATCAAAAAAGCTTGTGTTATGCTCACCACTAATTTTAAATTCTTAATAAAGTGATCTGACACGAGAAGAAACATGAATTATTCAAAACGATGATGCAATCATCTATCAAATGGGTTAGAGATGAAAATTAGTTAAAAATCCAGAACAAGGTAACAGAAGGAATATTTTGCTGGAGATGTTAACAGTTATCTTCTTGATAAAAAAAAAAGTATTGTTCCATGGCATATAGGGAGCTTAATATTAGGACTTTAGGAATCTTATTTCAGATATCAACATCTTTTAATGCGAGCCTTTTAATCTTCAATAAAATTTACAATGAATATACATTGTTCATTAAATGATTAAAAATGATTATCAGTAAAATGAAATAAACTTGGGAGGGGATAAAAAAAATTAGATAATTAAAATCTATACTAAACTAGATAAATCTTCAAGGTTAGAGGGTTTAAACTGTTAAAAATTTCTAGCCAAAGCATTCATTGTTATATTCATCAAGCATTCATTACTGATGAATTCCCTTTTTTTCCTGCGAGTTTAATCATTTTTATGCAGTGTCTTACATTGAATTGCTCCCAAAATGCCATTGATATGTCATACTATAAACATGCCTGACTTAATATCCTTTGAATGTTTTTATAATTCCTTGAGTCATTGGTTGGATTAAAGAAGTGGTATTCAGCCTCTACATTTGGATGCAATATTGTGAGGGCTTCAAAACTATGTCATGGAGCATTATCGAGAACACTGAGACGTTTAAGGCTCAAGTTTTTCTGTTCTAAGTAATGTTTGCATTCTTTAGTTAACGAATTTTCAAACCATTCACTAACCAGAACTATTGCAACACAGCCAAAAGTCTACGGGGAAAAAAACAGATGAATACCTCTGACAATACAGTAAGAGATTGGATCCATTAATTACCTAAGGAAAGTTTTCACTCATGTCATTCTAAGCAAGCATTCTAGTAAAATCGAAGAGCCTAAAAAACCGTAGAAATGGATTAAAGCCTTTTTATAAAGTGCAAAAACAAAGTATTGAGAATATTATTGTTACAAAATGTACAGCAACAGTAAGATAGTTTCCCCACAAAGCAGTTTTAGGGTTGGCATAAAATGGCAAGGGACGGCAGGGTTGGCACATTTCGCGAGAAATCACCAGTTTGGACCAGCAAATCGACGATATGCCATGGATGGGTGGAGAACCTTCTAAACGAATTCTTACCGGTTTAGCCCAGAATGTTCTCGAAAACAAGCCGAAAGCTATATAAACCCTGCTTGTCTGCAGTCAGAGAGTGCCTTATTAGAGTGCAAGATAGTTGATGTCTCGTCTAGCGAGTCAGTCCATGCGGAGTAGTGCGGAAAGAGTCTCTTCGTATATCACAGTTAGTGCATCGTCGAGAGAGCGTGTTGAACTTGGGAATGACAGAACTGAAGAGTCGGGAGCTGTGCTCTGTGTGTCTTCAAGTGCATCGCGAGTTGTAGTGTGGAGAGTCTCGAGAGTACGTGGAGTTCTGAGAACGACCAGTCGGTAGCTGTGCTCTGGTGCTTTGCAGTGAAGCTGTCTCCACCGTGATAGCTTGATAACATGAAAGCTGTGTCGCTGATCGTGTCAGTGTGTTTATAACAGTTTGATGACTGTAAACAAGATTTTGGAGCTGTCCTGATTAATACTGGCCAAAAAAGTGTGTTTCAATACTTCATGAAGTGTGTCGTTATTCATTCCAAATCTACGAACCCTGTATGAACATGAAGGAAGAAAATAACTTAACAACTGGTGTCAGAAAATAATGTAACATTATTTATTAAATATAAAGGTGTTAGTTCTTTTAGAACGTGCAGAAACGGTAGCCATAACTTTGGCAGAATCTCTGTCAATCTGCATAGTTTGATGGTAGCTACCAACTATTGACGAGATAAGATGCAAGTACCAAAAATTACTCTTAGAACTTAAAGAAATTTTAAGTTTCTTAATTCCCTGCACTAACCTAACCAAATGTTTATTGAATATGTTGGAATAAATAGCATTTTGGGGAGGAGGGAAGAAAGAATTGATTTTTTTCCCTTTTTCCAAAAATAGTTTTTGAACTATTACTTTATAAATGTTGTTTGAATGAATATGAGTTAGGTAGTGAATAGTAGCTATAAATGAAATGCAACTAGAAATTAAATGCAAAATATCTAAAAATGAAAGTGCTATTGAAATACCAAAATGTTAATGATGATAGTGGCTAAATGCTAACCTAAATTATCACAGTAATCACTGGCTTTTTCCATCTGGTTGGTAGTGGGCTCCCATATTTTAGAATAAGTATGGTAAAATCAAATGGTCCAAAAGCTTTAAATGTTATTTGAAAAAAAAAAAAAAAAAAAAAAAAAAAAAATGCAAGTCACAAATGATTCAATTAATGTTTTTATGTAATTACACCTTTACCATTTCCTTAACATACTAGATTTCCCATCAGGACCACCCAAACTCTGCACAGCCAGATTCTTTGCTTGAAACACACAGAAACTGGCCCAAGAAACGTACTTGTACGATGCATAGTTTTCGAGATAATTGCAAATTAAATATACATCATATTTGTCATATTCCCCTATGGTTCCAGCATGATGTAGCTCCATCATATTTCAGCACTTCAGGTATGTGACTGGTTGGATATTGAATACCTAAGCCACTGGATTGGGCATGCGGTTCTGGTTTTATGGCTGCCATGATCGCCATATCTGATACCTTTAGATTTCTTCCTAGGGGATCATCTGAAGGAATTGGTCTATCAAGATTTAGTTATTACAGAATGTGACTTAGTTGCTTGTCTTCGTGTTGCATGTACCTTGATCGATACCATGATACAGCAATGTATGCAGTCAGCCACTCCACGGTGCATGCAAACATGATTCAATACGCATGGTGGAAATTTTGAACATCTTCCTATGTAAATATAATGCAAACACTGATGTTCTGAACTGAATATGATGTTGCGCTTTTCTTTTGCATTTAACTCAAAAACTTGGGTTGTACAGGTATAGTTTTGAGCATTTTTTATGTATTCCAAGCAAGGATTCTGGCTGTTTTGGGACAGTCTTGATGGGATACCAACATAATAAAAAAAGCTTAGCAAAATTCAAATTTAAAGCAGATGAGTTGGAAAATCTAAAGTTCTTGACCATGTGCTTAGTCCACAATGCCATTTCTTTTACAACTGATAACAAAGCCTTTTAACATGAATTTTCAAATTTACAAACTTAAATAGCTATTCAAAAAGTTCTACACTAAAGTCTGTTATATATTTTCCATGAGCCATTAATACACATTTTATAATGAATCAGACAGTACCAAACTGTCAATATCCATTAGAATTTAATTTGCTGGTACTGTTCAAATATCTGATGTTATCACAGTATCAATTGATTTCAATTTGCGACAAGTTATATTAAATTGCCATCATCTCCAATAATTTTTAATTTACTCTTTTTATTTCATATTGAAATGAAA